CAGCGTAAATTGGTCACAATATCCTTTGTCAAATTGGTAAATTGGCTACAGTATGGTCACAATGTAAATTGGTCACAATAATTTAGTCCCCATAATTTAGTTCCCCATACGGTAAATTGGCTGCTATAGTATGGTCACAAGGTAAATCGGTCACAATATTTCAGTCAAATAGTAAATTTGTCACAAGGTAATGGTATAGTCAAAAAGTTAATCGGTCACAATAACTTGGTCACAAGGTCAATAGGTAAGGGTAATTTGGTCACATGGAATTCATAAACAATATAGTCATGAAGATAATTGATCACAAAGATTTGGTCGCATGAAAAATTGGTCACAACAATAATCAATAGAGCGACAAGGAGTAAGTAAAGTTTGGTCAGATTGTCCTGATCCGAGTGACCTGACACCTTGCGGTTTTTGAAGGTATCCATTTCGTACACTAAAAGAAAGGGAGTAAAAGAGTGAAGATCAAATTCTAACTTAGATAAGAATGAAGATATCGCACAATGAAATATGAAGAATGTACAAATATGTATTTAATATTAGATGTCAGCCTAAACTATTGTCTATATATAAACTTTAAATTAATATATAAAATATTGATATTAATCTACGTCCTTCTTGTCTCATCACGAACTGCCCAGTTTACTAGCCTGCAATCTATACCAAAGGTGATGTTTCTCGTAAAGTCTTTTTTAAATAATAAACTAAAATAATGTTATTAACGATGTAGATTATTGGATACAATAACATAAAATTATGTTTTAATATTTTATAGATTATTGACAATGGAGAATATTCGCTATATGTAGATTTTTGGCAATGTAGATTGTAAGATATGCACATGAAACGCTCTTGCAAAACCAAACGATATCAATTGGACAAGATTATGATTACTGGATATGTAGATTATTGGTAGATAATTAGCAATGTAGATTATTGGTAGATAAATAGCAATGTAAATTATTGGTAGATAAAACAATACCAAAGGAAATCAGTTGAATCAGAAAGGTGCCCATGTCGGCTGTCACATTCAACAGACTGTACATTGATTTCAAATTGCCCTTTGCACTTTGTGAAGTGAATTGAAGAGATATGCACTTAAAAGCTGAAAGGGGAAAACTGTTCAGGATATGTGATTTCAGTAACATAAAATTACTCAACCGAAAGCTATGCATTCACAATGCATGAGAGTGTATAAACGTCAACATGCATTGCAATTGAACTCTTGCAGAGAACTGAACTTTTAGTGAACGAAAAGAAATACTTCTAAATATTTTGATTATAAGACCTGGTCTACACTTAGAGGGATTGTAAAGAGGTTTCTAAATTTGTATGTGTTTTCGGGACACTGATAGTATCCATTTGCACCATTCCAATTTTTAGTCAGATGTCTGTGGTTCCTGCAATTCCACAAATAATAAGTGTTTGATGACGTCACTAAATGCATCGCAAAATATTCTTTATCCCATAAGGTCCTTAGCTTTTAGTGAGGTCACTTTTTACAATCCCTTTAATAAGAACATCATAATATAAATCATAAATATATTATTCTGTATATTAGTAGATCCAGGAAAGATAATCTCTGATAGGTGGATTTCTAATAAATGATATCATATATTTGATTTGAAGTCTCTACCTATTAAAAAAATTACCAACCATTTAAAGCGAAATTAAAAAAATAATTCTAGAATTGATTTAAGTTAACAATACTCAACTCCAGTATCAGCATTGCACTGATGAGTCCCGGTAGGCCGAAACATGCTACTTGGCTCATACCTTGTTTAGCACTCTATCTGGAGTGTACCATTGTCGTTATCGTGTATGCGTAGCTCACTAGCTTGCTAGTTTGAGCACTCTGGCATGGTACGATGATACCACATTATGTGGGATCATCTGAGACGGCTATATAGCCAAACGTCAACTCCAGTATCGACACTGCACTGATGAGGCCCAGAAGGCCGAAACATTTCTGTTTGTAGTAAGTCAACAATTCTGTTACTATTGTTAATTACACAAATTTTCGTGCAAACAAAGTCTAATTAAAAAAATCTTACCCTCAAAATTAAATAACCCACATTTAGTATATAAAACTTAAATAACCGAAACAAAAACATTTCCAACAAAAACAGAATGATTTAGTCAAGGACAGTGGCTATGTTCGAAACATATTCAATATTGAGTGAAACTGTTAATAATATTATATTTAGATTAAAAAATGCCCACTGACCATGTTTGATAAAGAAATTCAATTACTTACTATGAAAAGACTGTTATAGTTCAGACTGTAAAATATAGGGTGAAAAAACCGACAATAATATTAAGATGTTTGAGGTCCGTATTTGATCAGGTTTGTAACAGTCAGCTGGTAAATAAACACAGGGACACGAATTTACTCACGCTTTCTTTTAAAGGGACACAATTTATGATTACGTTTGAAGTAAGTGTTATAATCAGTGGGACAAGCCCCACCCCACCCCCACCCCCCTGAAAAAATTCTGACAACCGACCAAATCCATTACTGCAACTATACACCATGCACAATATAGCTATATTACTTGCCCCTCCTAACAATCAAGTCAGGCTACGGGCCTGGTTACAATTTTAACGGTTAGGCCTCCGTCAGAGTTTGTGGACAACACAAATGTCTAGTTTGATTCCAATGAATCTTAATAACCCATACGATGCTATTGTTAAATCTTATCAAACCCCCGATATTGAAGAGGGCCTGTTTCCACAGCTGACCCTTGAACTTTTCTCGCCCTTAAATTTCGATTGATCGTTGATTAAGTGGTTGACAAAATATGATGTTTAGTTCACCAATTTTATAATATATGTAATAGAGTTATGGCCCTTTAATAACCTTTGGTGGCCCTTTGGTAAGGGTGGCACAGATTGAAAGTCCCTGTGTTAATTCAACACTCAAACGTAAAATCGATCGACCCCATTTTCGGTCACAGAATAAATAAAAATGTTGCCGTTTCTAAACACTTAAATGTTTTTTTACAGGTATAGCCCACCTTTACCATATGACTGTTGCACTATTTTCATAATCTATATCGTGAAGCACGGTATGCCTTGGCCTACTACAAACCGATAAAGAATATTTAGCGATTAGTGACGTCATAAAACATGTAGTTTTAGTGGACTTGCAGGAACCACAATCGTCTGTTGAAACTTGAAATGGTGCAAATCAATGCTATCAGTATCCCCGATACACATGAAAAATTTAGAAAACCTCTTTACAATCCCTATAAGTACTTGAAATCTAAAAAGAGCCTGTTGCGGAAACATTGCTTAACTTTTAGATAACAATAAAAACACAAACGCTTGGTTGATATTATTTCAGTTACCGCCAATACAGATTCCTTTAAATAACCTTGGAACGTTCTACATATTTCGTTCCCAGTAAAAACATGTAAAAATATTGGTTTCAGGATCGTTGTCGACTGGTAAAACTTGGCCACACTGCGAGAACAAGCACCTGCGTGGTGTGTACTCTAAATGTACTAATAACCGCAGTAACCCTAACTCTTCAAATTAAAAATGCCAACTTACGATAACATACATTGTTTCAAAGGACATGAAAGATGTCTTTAAAATGATAATACGCGCCTTTCAGTTATCTAATGAGTATTATGATTGTTATAAACCTAATTACTAGGGGGTCGCTCTGTGAAAACTGACATCGTAATGTGCCCTTAGTCACGAAGAGTCACGAAGAGTCACGAATTGTCTATCTTTCGACCCCTTAATTTGCACACTAGACGAAAATTAAATTGGTTAGTCTGCAGTATGTCAGGCGTTTGTCAAAGGGATTTTATTTGCTCTGGCTTTTATGTCAAACCTTTTGGTCTCTTTTGCCGTGACCATAATATCTTGTGCCAGTATTAATGTGACCAAATTTCCTGTGACCAAGTTACGTAAGTTTTGCCTTGGCATTCAATGTTTCCCTTTGCGATAAAAGCCACAAGACTGACACAGAAAAGCGTCCATTTTTTCAGATGGGACTATAAACCATGCACTTGTGTGTGTGTACTTGTGGATTGACTCCATTCGTTGTAGTTTTTTACGCGTCAACACTTTCGCTTGTAGTCTCCCTTTATGCTTAATACACACATGAAAAAGGAAAAGGTAATGAAGGGGGTTTTACGCCCTTCTTTTTCCATGTCGGATCTGGATCACTTACTGGGAGAAACTGGGTTGAAATGGAACATAATTCTGAATAAAACATTTCGATTCTCCCAATTTCATAATTCATGCATGATATCACCTGGGCCTATTCACAGATTGCTCAAACGAAAAATTGGTCACAAGGAAAATTGGTCTGAGTGATGCCATCTTCACAATATGAAGCTATTTCGAACTGCGTCTTATACTTTGACTGCAATAGCCACTATTTTTGTATTACGGAATGCAACGATTTGATTGGATTATAAAATAGCGAATACAGCCAATCAGAGCACTCGACAGAAAGACTGTAAACATTATGGCTCATTATTTACAGCCTTTTATATTCGATAGCTCTGATTTAATGTTTTCGCTAGCGTACATCCAATAAAATGGCTGCATTTACAAACTTCCATGATACAAGTTTGTATAGTGGCCATTTCTTTTGATCCAGGAAACATTACTATGCACCACCAAATCCGGGTCTTTCCTCAAAGTTTGAGTCTATTTTCGTAGAAAAATCTGTATTCAGAGGCGACTGTATTAGTCATGGCAATCAAGACTAAATGTAGCGCCATTCTATTGGTGCAGAGAATAACAACAAGCCTTGATTGTCACACATAAGATAAGCAGCGTAGCTGTCAAAGCCCACGTGACCGGATTTTCGGTTGAGGAAGCCCTACACTACACAAAACTTATCTGGAAAGTTTAAATTGAAAGTTCGATTTAGGTAATTACAAATTTCTTGGAAATATTTACTTAACGTTTAGAATTTTCTTCCTCGTTGTTGAGGAAATATTAAAGCGCTATCAGACTGGATAACTACATTTAACATCATTATAGTTTAGTTTTAGCCAAGTAGGGTTTAAAAGAAGAAATAAGAAACTATTGTCTGAGCAAAGTAAAAAGTTTTTTGATTTATTTTTTTGTTTTATGAGAATTGTAATAGGAGCCTCAAACTAGTACTGTTAGTCTCAGAATGCCTTCAAAATTTCTTTTTTACAGAGGAAAATTTTCAGCAAAAATTTATGATCTTTTTGGGTTAAAATATCTAGGAGAGAAATGTGTTTCTTTTCAATGTAAACTTACAAAAGATTATATTTTATCAACGCAGAGACATTCTAGGACTATCAGTACCATTTTGAAGCTGATATTCCAATTCTCCTGAAAAAATTAGGAAAAAAATTCAAAAAACTTTTTAATTTGCTCAGATAATTACAAGTTTTTTTTTTGCTTTAATTGATAGTTAACTTTTAGACGTTGAAGATGAAGGGGTGTCAAAAGTTCCTGATGTTGTGGTCTGTTATATTTGTTATAACACTACAGTTTGATGATATCTTGTCAGTAAAACCAGGATTCCAAGCCAGAATAACAGATAAAGGTTTGAAGTATGGTAAGTATAAAAAATAGATAAAAGTGATTGATGCTATGTAACTTAATGTAAGCCTGACCTGTGCCTAAATTAAGTTTTGAAGTTGGTAGAATGGTAAGTATAGAGTAGGCCTAGGCCTAGCAGATAAAAAAGATTAATGCAATGTAATTAAGCTATGCCTAAATTAAGTTGTTAAGCCTTTTTTACAGTATGGGGGATATCTGGAATAAAAAGTTAAAGAAATTGTTGGTTTTGTCAAATTACAAATCAATTTTCTTCCTAATGTCTTGATTTGAAACATTTGCATAGTTAATGATATATAGGCCTGCTCTTTTTACTTTTTGATGGTTGAATATTGAGACAAGTAGATCTACATAGGCCTACATCACAGTGGTCTACAGTGCTTCTTACACATCCTGAAAAAATTGTTTCTATTCCTGAAAAAAAGGTACAATGTATAGGTCTTTAGATCTTAATATTTTCTCTATAAGGATATTTTCCCTATCAAGTATTTTGTAATTTATTATCTTTTCTTTTAGCTAGTACTTCAGCTATTAATGCCCTATCTAAAAAACTCAATGGCCAGAAGATTCCTGATCAGAGTGGAAAATCAGGGGGGGTTTCATATACTGTTTCTAGGTACGTATTTTTTTTATATTGAACAGTTAGTGATTCTATAAAACCACTGGCTTTAGTTACAATTATAGAGATCTGCCTAGAAAATTATATGGATTTACTTAGCTATAAGCTTAGTTTTGGAAGAATCTGCAATATTCTATGTGGGTATCAAAAACTCAAGCTTTAAACCTAAATCTACGGCAGGCTAAGTTTTACATGTCATTGTTGAGTTGTTGACATCCAGCCAACTCCAAAACTTCTCATGGCAAAAGTTTAATATACTTGTTGGCAATATAGAACATTTAATTGTTTATGATGTATAGGCTTAATATATTAGGTTTATATTAGTAATAAACTTGAATAAAAGCCAAGTTGTACTTCAGATATAAACCAAGGATTAAGGTTAATATTTCACTTACAATACAATAACTCTAATCCAGGAAATAATATGATATTCCTTATCTGATATAAAATATCCATGGTTTTAAAAACATATGATATTCATTTCAATCATTTAAAAGTTTCCTTGTGCATGAATTTGCCCTTTGTTAAAGGGACTGGTGCACTATTATTTTGGTCAATCATACTTAAGTCTAAGAAACGGGATTTTGAGCCTTTGTGGCCAGAATTATCTGCGTTTGAATGTTAAAATAACGACTCATCATTACAATTGTAATTTTTCAATAGCTTGTGAGTTTGTATGAATTCAGCAATTAATCTGATTCTCTCAGATGTCACTTATCGCCGAAATTTCAGTTGCTTGCAGATTCTGCCCTCCTAATCTGAGCTTACTTTTGAGTCTCCTGATGAACATCAGTTACCTATGAAAGCTCTGACATGTTCATCATTTGTTATACCTTGAATTGAGAAAGGATGTTATGATATAATTGCTGAATGTCTGTTTATCTTATAGCATGGTGATAACAAGTTTTACCAAGCCAGCCAGTAATATTGCTGTAGTACCTAGTACAGGTTTAAAATGGTCTGTCAATGGAGCTGGTATTTCTATGAAGGGTAATTGGAAATACCAATATAAAAAAGGATGGTATGTACATATACCATATTTTTGTGTGTATAGAACTAAAAAAAATTCGAACCTCAAGAATTTGCTAAACTGGCAGTGCACATTATAAACAGTGACAAAATTATTTTGAATTTCAATGTCTCAGTCCCAAGTACTTGCTGACTGGGGAAATATTCTGAGCAGACAGTATTAAACAGACCTACATGTAAATAAAGATACTTTCAAAAGCTGACATGAAAATAGAATACAGATTGAGGCACCTCATTGTCTCCATATCATTGGTAACTTTACTTGCTGTTTTAGTATTCACACTTTTAGCTTTGAAATTAAAAATGAAGCTTATAAATGTTTCTTACATTTTGTTTCAAAGAACGTCTGAAAGGTAATAGGCAATGTTCAAAGAGAGTAAGCCAAAAATTATATCCATTATATCCAGATAAGCCTAATTATGACCGTTGTATAATGCAAATTTATTTATTAATATGCATTCTTGATATCAGACATCAGAATATTATCTTAATAGGCTCAGTGCGCTTAAAAAGGCAAGAGACACTTTTCTATACTTTAAAGGATAAATGCACCATTTTTATTACCAATCATATCTTGGTCTCTGAAACGGGAATATTGTAGCTAAGCCAATCAGTAAGAGTTTGAGCCTTTAGGTCCATGTGTGTGAATTATCCGCGTTTGAAAGTTAAAAAGACTAGTCCTCTTTTCTTGTCCCTTTAAAACTGAAATACTTATTTCATAATTATCAGAATCTACCACTGTTATGATCTTAATATATCTTTATATTTATATCTTTATACTACAGGTTTAAAGTGTCTGATCATGGTCGGTTTGATGCCTCTGTTAATGGAATTACATTTTCTTTAACTATGGCTATAGGTTAGTAGAAATTCTTATCACAACCATTTAGCTTTCAGTAAGACTGAAGGGCAAGTTTAAGATGCTTAAATAGTTTGATTGCATAAATGGTAGAAAAGTTGTTTAACAAGAGTTCAGTTTGTGCTATTGTTTCAATATCTTGACTAAAGTTTGTATGAATTAAGTGAGCTCAAAACTCAATACCTGGACTAAGCACACTCACAAATATTGATAATGAGAGATGCTATAGTCTATAAACTCTACTCTATTTGACGGAGCTTGACATGTCAGCATGTGTTTCAAATATATTACCGATAATCATGAGGGATCTATGATATGACACTAACAGAATAAGTTAGTATAGTAGGCTGATGTGAAAAGTTCATAAGCTGCTACTAATGTTTCGCTTATATTTTATATGCATGTCGAGTTTGGATCGTTAGTGCTTGGTTTATTTGTTTTCATGGGTAAGTTATATATTTTTGCATATTGTTAAAGGTAAAGATGGAAATGGCAGACCAAAGATCTCAGCGTCCGGGTGTAGTTGTGATGTCAGTAGTGTCCATATTAAATTTCATGGTGGAGCATCATGGATCTATAATATATTTTCTGGTGTTATTGAGCGTAAATTGAAGGGTATTTTAAAATCAAAGGTAAGAAACTCTATTGGCTATATTTATATTGATTGTATTAGTGCTGGGTATTGCCAGCTATTCCACGATATGATACTTATTGCTCTGATGTGTGCATAATTGACACAAACTTATCTAATGCAACCAACAGATGTTTCAGATACAGAATCTCCTACAGTTTTTTTAAGGAAGGGTAGTTTTCCAATATAGTACAATAGCCTGACTCTGACTAGATTATCCTAAGCCTTGCAAGCACATGTCTATTTTAATTGTAGATGTGTTCAGAAGCTGTTGATGCTGTAAATACTGATGGAGAAAAAGAAATGAAGAAAATTCCAGGTTTGTTTATTTGTTTGAAAAGTTAATGAATGTAAAAAAGTTGATTAGGGAAAAAACTGACGTTTCTTATCCTTTTACATAGGAAAAGCCTTAAAATCCCCTAAACAGCACTTTTGACCTAATAAGACCTCTGAATTTAATGGTTTATAGAAACACCACTAAAGAATAAGGATTGAAATTAATGTTAAAACTTATTGGAAATATTGATTGATTGATCTTCTATTTCAGTTAATGTGGAATTAGCCAAGAAATTTTTACTGGACTATAGTTTGATTTCATCGCCCTCTTTTTCAAATTCCTACATGCAAACATTCCATAAGGTGAGAAAAACATAATAGATAGTCAAGAACTGGCTGATATTCTTAAGGGGAAGTATGCTCTGACTTAATAGGTACTCTTGCCAAAGTACACATGCTTAATATAGTGGACAGTAAACTCAATGAGCACCTTTGATACCAAACAAGTTAATGTAAATGAATTAATGAAATGAAAACTATATGAGTAATAGGTATAAGTACCAAATTATATGCTGGGATATTTGGATTAATAGATTTATTTATGATTTATAGGGTGAGATATATTGGAAAGGAGGTAAAGAAGATATACCATTTCAACCAGCTGATATACCAGCTATTAAAAGCAGCTCTAAGATGGTATATCTATGGCTATCTGACTATATGGCCAACTCTATGGGTTATACAGCATATAAAAACAGTTATTTGAAATATAACTTAACAGCTAAAGATGTAAGTTTAGAATTGGAACGTACTTGAAGCCTATTTTAGATTTATTGTCCTGTAGTTTATGAGCACAAACTTGATAATGATATGTGGTATTTTATGGCATACTGCACAACATTTTGTAACCAGTATTTTCCATTGGCAATGTGAAAATTGTTTAATATTGCTGGTCAATACCAAGAAAATGAAAAATTGTCCTATCTTGATAGAAAAAGGTTAGTTATATGATAAAATTATAAAATTGAGATTGTTGACAAATATATTAATGTTGTAAATATTTCAATGAATTAAGTGAATTACAGAGTGTTTTTCAAATTTAGACTGTTTATTCAGAGAAATATTATCTTATTTTAAGCTACCAGCTGGTAATAGATCTATATTAAATACAACATGTTCTGGACTGTTCTGTATTGGTAAACTAATCCCTCAGGTAGGTATATATAGACAACTCCAGTCACTCCATTCTCTCTATACATTTACAGAGTAAATCGTGCTTTACATTTACAGAGTAAATCGTGCTTTGACTTGGATTGAAATCTAGTTAGATCACAGCTAAGCTCCTCCCACTTGTTATACAACAAAAAGATCACAGGAAATAATGTTCTAAATAATTTAAAACCTATTTTACCAATTATCTTCAATTTTCTATGAAGTATTATTAAATTACTGTAATTTTTATACGCCCACATGAATATGACAAAATGTTACAATAATGGAATTGATAAGATCTCAGACAAGTTGTAACTTAACGCATTTTCGATGAACGGTTTTTGAGTTATTGCCCTTGACTTTGTTAAAATGCGTCGAAATTTGTTAAAAATAATTTGTGAGCAGGATTGACGCTACAGTTTTCAACCAATTCTGATGAAACTTGGTGTGATCATTGGAATTGATAAGATCTCGGAAAAGTTCTAACTTTTGTGATGTGATAAATATTTTGTGAAGTGGGGACCATATTAATTAAGTTTTTGATGAGAAGATTTTTTATTATTATAATGTGTACATTTCAGATTGGAGAGAAATATCCCAATTGTGTCGTACAAGTAAATATGGTTGCCAACAGTGCTCCTAAAATGGTTATTTCACCACAAGCTATACAAGTGGATGCTTCTGGGGTTCTTGATCTATATGCCAAGAAACAGTCTTCACCAGATATCTTTCTTATAAAACTTAATATGGTATGACATTCAATTTCATTAACAAAGACAGAAAGAGAATGTACAGGTTCATCATCTGTTTGGCCAATCATATCTTAGTCTTAGAAACAGAAATTTTTTAGCTAATCAGTAATAGTGTTCACATCTCACCATTGAAATTCAAGACAGGTATAGAATTTAAAGTGAAATTCCTAGTTTAAGGAATTTTCATACATTTCTAGTACTTTTGAAGACTAATTGCATATATTCAAGAACCAAATCAACCTGCAAACTTTGAGAGTTTTATATTTTATGAAGATAACAAGAATTTTCTACCTTTTGTTCTGGTTGGTCAAAATATGAAATATGAATAGTCTTTCCTGGACAAACATGGAATAACTGGAATAATGAGGAAATATTATACAAAATCATACATATAAGTATCATATTGATAGAAATTATGCATGTGTGAAGGAGTTCAATACAAAAGTCAAGGGGTTTCTAGTAGATTGACTGTCTCGGTAAATATAGTCTTGAATAGTGGTCATTTTTTAGAAACTTTTTAATTCTGTATGCCAATACGAAAGTATATTTTAATTCTATTTTCATATTTATAGACATTAGGAATTGATTTAAAGGCATCACTTAAAGGAGAGATTTTATATACTGAAGTTTCCAATCCCAGGTAATGCTGGAATTTATTTCTATGAGTGGCCTGCCATTATTACTGACGGGACACATTCTTCCATAACACAAGTTTGTCAGAGTTGCAACCTATGCTGAAAGTCCCCATAGTTAGTTATGTTTTTTGGATTTATATTTTATATTTCTGTAAGAAATTGATGGTTATAAATATATTGAGAATTGACAACTTATAATAAGTAAGCATATTGATTTCATACATGTAAAATATCTTTTAAAATTATTTTTATCCTTGTAGATTGATAATTGGTGTATTAAAATCAGCAGTCGGTGTTGTCAGTGTAAGTACTGAATCTTATCTAGGTGTATAGTGTATAGCACAGTTTTCTTGTAGAAGGAACTGAGGGCTGACTCGTATTGGACAAGTTTTTCCAGAATATTGTTTTGATATTTTGAGTGGTTTCAGTTGAAAATTCAGCACTTTGTACCCTTGAAGATTGCATTCCGACTCACAGTTTAACTGAGCTCCACTACTGCTGAACTAAACCATTAAAAACCTACACAATCTTGAGCTCTTAAGAAAAACTTGCAGTAAATGACTTACAACATACATCATTAATTGATGGTTTTGAAAATACTAAAGGCAAGATTGAAAATGAAGTGTCTTTTAACTTGCACATTGTTTGATTATAAATTTGTGACTGAGATTTTAAGAGCACTCTCATCATATCAAACGCTATTTCCTTGTGTATTTCTTCCTATGGTTCCCCTCACTGTTATAAACATATGAATAGACTATCTTGTCATCTATTGTAGGGTCCAGTTATTCAATCATTGATTAAATTTGGTGTACAGTTGGTAGTTATTCCAAAGTTAAACAGTAAGTTTTTTAATTTGATACGGGGAAAAAAGGCAAAAATGGAAGTGAGAATGTGATAAGAGACTTAAATTATGATAAAAAGAAAAGATTTTATGATATTATGCTGATATATTTGAAAAGATCTCAGATGCATTTGAATTTATCAAATTCTGCATTGAAATCTATTAGTTATGTTAGGGCTCATACTTTTGGGTCACATTCATTGTACAGTGTACTCTGTGTAATCTGACATGCATTGAGACAGTGAAAATATGTCGGATTATAGAGAGTGTAGGCGTACTCAATTTTCAGAATTTTTATCATCAGTTATTATTTATAGCTATTGATAGCTCAGTGTACCCAACTATAGATATTATTATGTCAAAAAAGACAATTCATTTCATTCATTTTGATTAAGTAATTCTGATAGCCTTGCTCCTATGTTATTTTCAAATGTTGTTAGGTTTCCAATCCCAGGTAATGCTGGAATTTATTTCTATGAGTGGCCTGCCATTATTACTGACGGACACATTTTTCCATAACACAAGTTTGTCAGAGTTGCAACCTATGCTGAAAGTCCCCATAGTTAGTTATGTTTTTTGGATTTATATTTTATATTTTGTAAGAAATTGATGGTATAAATATATTGAGAATTGACAACTTATAATAAGTAAGCATATTGATTTCATACATGTAAAATATCTTCAGTAATTATGATAGCCTTGCTCCTATGTTATTTTCAAATGTTGTGTACTTAGATATTGGTGCTAAAGGACTGAGCCTACCAATAACCAAAGAAATCAAGTTCAAGAATTCAGAACTTATATTACAAAAGGTATGTTTCATATTTTGTTCTTTGATAATTTGTCTTGAGCCATGAGGATGTCCTAGGATGGCACGAATACTATGCCTGGCATATGAATTTCCCTGATATATATATAGCCCATTAAATGGTTAACTGTTAAGCATGGAGGGAATCAGTGCGGTATTCATCAGCTATAAGCATAAACAATAAAACAGCAACTTGGGGGTTTCATTACATAGAAAATGCAAAGTTTTGCAGGCAGGTAATTTCTACCTATTTAGTGATCACTATCTTTTATCACACATTTTTGAAAAGTTGCCATCTATTTTGAATAATGCTTTCCTGATGAGGATTGTTTATCTGAAAAGCGTGTTGGTGGCATGATATGTGCTCTAGTCTATGAGAAATTTGGGTCCCAATATTGTTTAAATCATGTACAATTTGATTATATATTCGGCAGATGTCAGCCAGCACATTTTCATTTAAATGAGAGGGCCCTTTTAAACTGGTGAATTCTTTTCACTCCTGAGGCTTACAATTTCAATTCATCTTCAGCCTTATCTATTTTTGAAAGATATAAACCAGCTTCTGTCAGACTGATGAAATCTCCCCCAAAACCAGCTCTAATTTTAGACAATTATTTCCCTTTTATTTACAGGATTCCTTAATGATAGCATCAGATATAGCATACATTCCTCCTAAAGGTGATACACCTGTCACAGTTTCAGACCTAACTGAACTACCACATCTTAACCTGAAACTAGATCACATGGGAAAATGGTATCAACTGGCCAATAAATTGAAGAAACCAAATACATTGAACCATGTGATGGAACCATTATCTCAGCATAACAGGAAACCAAGTTTTCAATTTATTGGAAACAGGTTCAAGAATATTATGAAACCATTATTGAAATAGAATTGAGATTTATGTCTAATATTGTTGATGCCACATCAAGTGCCTAGAGTGGGGGCTCTTCCTCATTCATATATACTGAAGTAGCTTTAGCTTTAAGCAGCAATGGTGAAATATTTTGTTCAGTCAGTTTTATAGTATACACTTCTGTCTCTATTTCTCTACCTTGTTGAGATTATTGTATTTCTTCAATCTGATTGTTCAAGATGTATTTTGGTGATTTTTCTGCAAGTGTAATAACCTGCAGAAATAAAACAAATCAAAAATACAGATATGCATATAATCAGATTGAAAACATGAGAATAAGTTCTACTTGTCCAACTGCAGTAGGGATGCAGGCTGAAATAGTTCAGTTGGGCTGAAGAACGCATAGCTTGAAACTCTGAGTAACAACATGTCTCATATTTTGTTTCAATATTTCATTTGTAATTCTGCTTATTATCTGCAGGCTTCCATTATGTGATTCTTTTGTATGGTTTTTTTTAACAAGAAATATACTATACTAAAAATACTACACTGGTATTATAGAATAGTCGTGTATATTAAGTACAGGTAGACTGGCATTTAAATTAGTCAAACAGAAGCCTTAAAGGACTTTTTCCACACATTTTTGTTTTTATGGCTTTTGAAATTGCTGCAAATTTTAGAAAAAAAAACTCACATCCAAGATACATTCCTATTATTGTAAGATTATAGTTTGAAGGATTTATTAGCTAAATTGGTTATTTTCAGCTTTATTATATAATCTCAAATACTCAATATTCTTTTATATTTGGTATATTAACTGCTTTTTGCAGACTTTCTTCTTACTATGTTTTTTAATACTTATGAAACTACTTAAATTATAAAATATCTTTCACAATGTCTAATAAATAATAGAAGTTTATGATATTATATTAATAATGTTAAGAGTGAAGAAGTTCCTAAAAACTTATATGTAAAGCACTGGCCAAGGTCACAAATAAAGAGATAAATGTTCAATATTAAATTGACTGTGAGGGCCAGAGTTCAACATAAAATAACTACACGTCAATATCTCTCTCTCCTGTCATTTTCCTTCAGCAACAGACAATATTATAGACATATTATCCACATGTTATTACCATCGCTAAAGGAACATGCTCACCCGTAGAACACGAGTGTTTTCATTTTTATCGTAACAATAGTTGCTAATGTTACTCAAATAGAGAAATTTGGCTTGATGAGGCTTGATGAATATTTCATGAAATCCAATAGCCTACAGCTACCTTTGACGCAGATTTTAAAAAAATTGTATCACCACTACTTTTGATTTAATCTCTTCATTCAAGATAAGTTTTCAAATTAGAACCTAGATATCAGCTCTCACAGTCACTTTAAGTTGTTTATATTTATGATTTTGGGTTGATTGTTACTTTGTTTTCCATATATCTACTAAGTAACTAATTAAATGTCCTCTGTGTGAAGCAGACCTACCCCAATTTATGTCCAAAATGTTACTATCCTTTATGAAAAGTAAATTTGATTGTCTTTAACCTTGCAAAAATTAGAGGCTATTGTTTAATTTTTGGATACCAAAATCTCTACTTTGTAGCCTCGGTTTTCGGCTTCAATTCAACTGTATTAATAGAGGAAGGTATATAGTGGAATATTATTTTGAAATTTAATTATTTGATATAAATATTTTTGGTACAAGTTAACAATAAAATATATTTTGTAATACATATTGGATCTTATTTTAATGCAATTTGACTCTGGCATAGATTGACACAGTACCTTCAGATTTTTTAACCAATGTATAAGTTGTATATTTTTTCAGGTGTGATAATAAATTAAGGCCCTAAGTGCTGCAGACTGTGTATAAACAGTTGAACAAAGAAAAAAGTAGTTCTGTTGCCCTGGCAAAATTTAAAAAATAAAATTTTTTACATCATACTTTTCTGCACCATGTAGGATAATGAAGATGGGCAATGCCATGCAGGGTGCAATGAGGGAAATTTTGCCAGGACAGCGGAATTAGCCTACTCTTTTTCAATTTCCAACTGTTAAAGGACCTTAACATGCACAGCCTGCAGCACTTAGGGCCTCAATTTACTGTCCCATTCGAACGACTTGACGCTTTTTCCATGTCAGTCCCTGTTACCTGCATCACTGACAGGGAAACCCGATTGAACTTGGGTCTAATCCACTTAGTTACTGTGGCTCCCTGGCAAAATTTGAAGGGGATGTTTTTCGTATAGAATTAGACCAAAAATTTTGCGTTCTACTATTTGCTGTATGTTTCTCATTTACTTGGTTGCAAATACAAATAAATGTATATAAGGACTACAGTGGAAATTCAGAAACCCCAATATTGGCACGCCTTTTACTAGCAACTGAATATTGATATCAAATTTAGATTAAGAATAATTGGATTTATACAGGGTTGAAAGATATGAGAAACTAAATAATTCAGATTGAAGTTTTGTTTATTGAATATATCTGGGTAATTCTGACTAACTGAAGATGAAGATGAAATACAAATTGTCATGGAATTTCAATTTCAAGCTTACATTGATGGACTTGAATATGTTTTAGGTAGAGCTGTAACATTTTAAATTCCATACATATTCTTACATGCACTAATATCTCCACAATTTATAATAATAATTATTGCAACTTATTGTGAGGTATAATGAAGAGATTATCACAAAATAAAACTAGAATTACATCCATAGACTACTATATACTACTAAAATAACATCTTCACAATGGTCAAGGTATTACACCTTCACCTTATACCTTGACAGCAATGACCCATTCTCTTGTATATGCAGTTTGTGAATGCAGCAATTTGATTGGATTGTATCTGAGCCCTTGACAGAAAGATTGTAAAAAATAGTTACGCATGAAATCGCAGGCTCTGACTGGTTATATTTGCTGGCGTACAATCCAATCAAATTGCTGACTATGAAACAAGAAAGTGGGCCATTGCAGTCAAGGTACACCTGTGTAAAATTTTCATCTTATAATATTTCAAGATATAAATTCATGTTAACTTTCAATTCTTATGATTATTTAATAAAAAAATAAAAGAGATTTTTAAAGCTCAAGATATGACTAACGAATACAGTCAAATAAACTGAAATTGGTTAAAAATATGACTGAAGCTATATAGATGTGACTATAACAGGGTAGACCTATAACAGGGTGAGTCTATCTAAGTGTAAGAGTAAGTCCTCAATTAAAATATGCTTTAATAAAATAATTGAATTGATTTGTATGATAAAAATAAAGCTATTCTAATGGAATAAATTAACATAAATTACTTATGAATTTACAATGATGAGATATGACTTGAAGATCTGACTTGATGATAAACAGCAGGCTATTGTTTGTGGGTTGTTTATAATTCAGTCCAACAAAGATCTTCTGGACATTTTTCTATAGAGCCAATTAAGATTTTAAATCTTCATTTAATTTATCAGATGAAATAAGAACTGAGCTTAAAAAACTACATCATCAAAAATGGCCTGAAGAAAAATTTGTTCTAATATTATTTCAAAGTTGGCTGGAGCCTGCAAAGATGAGATTTAAATTTTCATTATGAAAATGTTGGTATGTCAGACTTCTGAACAAGATTAATCATCCATTACCAAATATAACACAAACACATCGTGACCCTTGAAGTATGGTATATCTATCTATAAATTCATGCAACATGTATCCAAATTCCGAGGTAGAATTAATAAATATGCTGCCTTTAAATTACTTTAATATATGAAATTTTTCTCATCATCTAGATAAGCTAATATTGCTCGTTGACATTCGGCAGTCGGCCATCTTTCTAATAATAAGTTACATTCTGTTTCATTGGTTAATTCTAGCTTCGTTCTATTGTGACAGCGAATCAGTAATTTGGTTGTCTCTAATGCCTGAAAATATCATTTTGAATTAAGATGGTGACAACTGAAAAATAGAGGAAATTGCTACCGAAACATTGTCAAAACTTGTCAAATAGCAAAATCATCTCTGCACTAATTTTTCATGATGAAAGGATCCATTTCTATTGATTTATTTTCTATTCTATTTGACCAGTCCTCTTTGTGATAGACAGAACATTTCAAATACCATCACTTTTATCAATGTTTTCATATATTGACCCATGTGATTGGTTTTCCATGTTTAGATATGACACACCAAGCAACATATAATGTCTAAACCATGATCATTGATTTGTTCAAAGAGATAGGGTTCTCACAGGACAAGTTTGGAATTCAAACTCTGTCCCTTTTTTCCAAAAATCTTCCGACAAATGTTATAAATCTCTTTCACATTATTATAATTCTGTTAGTTTTTTGATAACTGTGGTCAGACATTTTATTGTAAATGATAATACTAGTACAAACCTTGCCAGAGAAAAGAGCCATTTGTTGAACTCTAGGTATAACCTCCTGCATCATACTGGTAGGCCAGAATACTTGAGATACCAGTCCTAGTTGATGAGCTTCTAGTGCTGTTACTTTACGTCCACAAAACAACAGTTCACTACCCTGTAACAAACAAAACAACAGTTCACTACCCTGTAACAAACAAAACAACAGTTCATTACCCTGTAACAAACAAAACAACAGTTCACTACCCTGTAACAAACAAAACAACAGTTCATTACCCTGTAACAAACAAAACAACAGTTCACTACCCTGTAACAAACAAAACAACAGTTCATTACCCTGTAACAAACAAAACAACAGTTCACTACCCTGTAACAAACAAAACAACAGTTCACTACCCTGTAACAAAACAACAGTTCACTACCCTGTAACAAACAAAACAACAGTTCATTACCAAGTAACATACAAAACAACAGTTCACTACCCTGTAATAAACAAAACAACAGTTCACTACCCTGTAACAAACAAAACAACAGTTCACCATCCGGTAACAAACAAAACAACAGTTCACTATCCTGTAACAAACAAAACAACAGTTCACTACCCTGTAATAAACAAAACAACAGTTCACTACCCTGTAACAAACAAAACAACAGTTCACTATCCTACCATGATAATTTTAATTAACCATGCAAAAACTAACATAAAATCCTTCAAATCTGATGTTAACTTATAGAAATTTTGATACAACTGATAATTGAGTTTGTCACTCAGCACCTCTTTCAGGGAGTCCACATAGCCAATATTGTTTATTTGCTATATTAATTCCAGAAAACTTGTGTAAAAAATTGTTTTTACATTTTACAAAGTTTTTTTTATCAAATGAGCAACTCAACACTAATCTGAAAATCCATTTTTAACAGATGGTACTATGACTTAGAGCAAAATTAACTCTGGTTTTACTGAATATTTGATAAACATATGGATTTTTAACTACCGGTAATAGATAAAAATATAAGTTATGTTGCACACCTCATTTTAACAGTGAAATAAACTTACCATAGCTAGTCCTAGTACTTGAGGTAGAGTAAAAGATGAACAACCTTCTGGTGTTTGAGACAATGTAGAATATGGTAAATAAAACAATGCTTTATCACTAGCATAGGTGATATCACATAATGGTAATATAGCCATACCTAACCCTACAGCAGCTCCTGTTACTACTGCTACTATAGGCTTGGGAAATGTTATAAATGTCTTCACTAGCTCTCTGGAAAAATATGAAATGAAGATATATCAGCAATGAATTGAGGCCCATTTGCAATAATTTGATAATACATCAAAATCATTTAGGGGAGCCAATTTGAATTATGTGATCTAAGTGACAAGAAAAACTGAAAAAAATTATTGCATTGACCAACTTGGTCCAGTAAGTTTATAAATTGATGAAGATGCTGTTTAACACAAGAGTTCTAAATCCAAGAACTCATTTAGAGAGAGGATAACCTATTCCATCATGAAATACTTCCTCATTTATGATAGATATACTTCCTCATATGAATAGTTAACCGTTACCAATGCATTGTCAAACTCTTATTTTGACTTTTCTTGTTTTGTAGTTTAGATTGTTAGTATTTGGAATTTCTACAGTATATAGAGTAATCTACCGGTAATGCCTGCCTTATAAACATGTTTTCTCTATACAAAGATACAAACCTGAGTGAATCCACCATTTTTCTGGCAGCTATTTTAGGATCACCAGTTGTTAAATAGTTGAGATCAACACCAGAACAAAATACATTACCAATACTACTAAACATTACTAGGTTACTGTCATCATATTTAGCTGAATTTAATGCCGTCACTATTTCTTGAATCACCTTTAGTAGAAATAATCAACATACATTTACATTTTACAATGGACATAATCATCTAAATATTCGCTTTTTCTACTAACAGAGCTCAATAGCAGCTATCTATATCAATGGGAGCCACTGTCACGTGTTTATTAGGGGGGATTCCAACATGGCAAACTCCCTGATCTGCAGTTCAAACTAAGTGTAGACTGTTGTCTCTTCCAGGAGCCTATCATAACAGTTTCACACATAATATTGGAATAGTGAAAATAGAAAATCTTAAAACAATATAATTGTCCCTTTCTTCACTTTAATAAGCCCATTTTTTATCCCTTCAAGTAATAAGGAAATATCAGGTTAATATTTAAGAGATCTACCAGTATCTACCTGTGGATTAAGAACATTTTTAAGTCTTGTTTGAGTATTTAACCATATCTGTGTATAGCGTTGACATTTCTTGACTACAATATCTTTATTTCTGAACGCACATTCTGCCGATCTCACACTAGTACGTCTTTCAATCTGTCCATCATCAGATTCTGTATCAGACTCTTTCTTCTTCTTTTTAGGATGCATCTGTTGAGGGAGATTCTCTAATAAAGCTTTATATGACATGGCTGAAGGACTGCCTGGTATCATATTAGCTATTTGATATGAGGGTATATCACCGAAATATGACTCCATCACTAAAGAATGGGATGGCATGGGTTTAGACAGTAATGATGGGGTGGTCACTAGAGGTTTAACTGAGGTATAATATAAACTAGAGGTTTCTGGTAGTTGTGGTTCTTTAAATAATTCTCTATCTGAAAGATACAATAGAATGTAATACGGTGATTAGTGATTTAACAAGTTTTAAAAATGTGAAACAAGCTTACATTTTGAAACTTACAGCGCTGTAGACTATTTTGCATTTTCTGTACCAGATTAGATCTCAAAGAATGCTATCACTTTGATAACCAAAACAAATTTGCATCCATTTGAATACATTGTGATTTTCAAAAAAGGACTATTTCCCACATTATTTCAGCATCCTTTAAATAAATTGTACAACTGGATACTATCAGAGGTATTAAATTGCTTGCGATATAATAACAAATTGGGTGTACCTTTGGGTATATCTACTAGCTGAGTTTGATTTGTTGCCAATGTTTTAGGTTTATTAGGTTTAGTTTTTAATCCACTAATCAAGGATAGTCGTCTATTGCCTGAATTGTTTGAAGTGATAGAAGATTTAGCACTGTCCTTGGTTTCACTACAGGATTTTGATTTTTCAATACATGTATTTCGGGAGTTTTCTTTCTCCCTTTTAGGAGACACAATAATCTTTTTGATCGATTTTCGTTTCACATTTGGATCACTAGACACAACTTTTTGGTTTTTGGGTTTCTCTTCTTCTATCAGAGAATATAAAATGTTATCATCATCTTCTTCTTCATTATTTGCCTTCTTTATCTTTCTCTTAGCAGGATGTTTCTTATTCTCATCTCCAGAATTACTACGCTTCCGTTTTACACCTTGAGATTTATTGTCATTTAACTTCTCATGTTCTTTCTTCAAATGTAAATCATTCTTTGGTTTTGAAATTGCCTTACATGTTTTATTTGGAGGAGATTGACTTTTTCCACTTGGTGATTTAATGTTGCCATTTTCAGTTTTAAGTTTGGCATTGATTCGTTTTCCTTTGAGAACAATTCTCTTTTGATTAGTTATTTTCGAGGAAGTGCTGGGCTTTGAATCAGATTTGTCCAAATTGTCAGATGTTTGATCACTTTTTCTCTCTGATTTTCCCATTTTTTTGGGCGTTTTACTCTTTTTTACCAATTTCATGGCAGCATTTCTAGTTCTTGTCTTATCACTCATTTTTAAAGTATTATTTTTGAGCTATGTTTTCTCACTTAATCTTAAAATCTTTCTCTTCACCCTGAAATGAAGAAAATCAAAATACTTACGGTTACGGTATAATCAAAAAACAAAAGATTTGGAGCGGCATCCTTGATTTGCATAATCTGTGCTGCATTACATTCCCTTGCCTTGCCTTACTAGTATCCCTGCTCATTTTCGCTTTCTCCTTATTTCAAAGAAAATTTTAAATGTGTCATATCATATTGTCATTATTACGCAAAAGAATTAATTGTTCAAATCTTAGCCATTCAAGAATGGTAGGCCTACTGATACTATCTTAGCCGTATGTCAATAAATCAGTAAGGAGTAATATAACTCATTTTATTCAATATTTATTATGGTAATAGGTAGCATCAAATTTAGGCATTTTTAACTTTTATAAAGTAATTGTTCTGCAAAAATTACGGATTGACTTAAAAAGGGATTTGGAGTTGGACTACAGCTTCTGAATAAATCGGTGGTGGTAGGCTAACTGCCACTGGTGACTTTTGAAATATAAGCCTATAGAACTTTGTTAAAATATTTTATTTCTTTTTAATTTTGACTTTTATATGACATTATAACAGCATAAACTCAATGATAAAGATCAAATAATTTTTTTTTTTACTGAAATTTTAAATTAAAGACATTGGCTTAGTCCTCCTAGTCCTAGCCTGGATTTTTTAGGCCTTTGCCTAACCTAGGTAGGGTCTAGATTGTAATATCCAGATATATTAAAAGTTCCTTGTAGGCCTATTATAGGTAGGCCTATCTATATATCCAAAATTGAAGGTATATTACCCCAGAAGTTCCCTTTCAAGTTCCATGTCTTAAGACAATGCTTTTGTTTATCAACAACGGACAGTCACAAGGAAAAAAAAACGGAACTCAAAATGATTGGATTTAACGATTAATTTTCTTTACTCTGATCTCTTGTACTATTGCAATTAAACATTCTCAATTAAGAGCGCTTAAAATTGCATGTTTCAAAGTTAATTACTTTGTGCTACCTTTAAAAATCATTTCGATTGGAATCCGCCAATTCCGTTCCCGAAATTTTTCTTTCAGCCCAAATTATTTCTAAGGGAGACAATTTAATTGTAGATGGCGCTTTCAAAGATGGCGGCTTGTGCAAAGAGTTCTAAACTTATTTCTTCTTTGAGAATATGGTAATATTTTGAATGAAATTAAGCATAACATTTTTCAAGAATGCTATTATAGTCATAGCAAATGTGCATTCAAAGCATGATGCCTAAAAACAATCTGGTGTGCTGATTTGAAAGAAAGTTTTCAATGATCAAATTCTGTGTTTTTCAACTCAAAAAAGGCAAGAAATGGACAAATCAAAATGTGGACTTTGAACTTTGTGTCTGCACTTTCACCTTTTCCAACCGATCAATTTGTCTCTGGTTTAACCATTTCCTATAATTGAAGGTTTTTGGGACTTTCCTATATTTGAAAATCTCAAAGTTGGTTTTCATGGACACAGGCTAATATATAAGCATCTATATAGTTTGACCTACTAAGGCTACTAAGCTTCTACATAGCTAAAGTCTTTAAAAATCTCCTAGTCCTATACCTAATCCCTACCTATCTAGGCGTAGCAAGTACTAGAATGGTTTACGAATTTGTTATGGACTGGTGAAAATATTATTGACATGTTTTACAAAATACGAGTGAATTGTCCCATTCAACAATTTTTTAATTTTTTATTTCAGGCCTAACCTGTTGAAATCTTCAAGAAGTTTCCACAGTTCATTGATGGTAGCAATGCCTGCTCATGATGCAGAGTTTAACAAAGCCAAGGAAAGGTTGAATACGTTGAGTGAAGCCCCAGGAAATGATATTAAACTAAAAATCTATGGTTTGTTTAAGCAGGTAAAAGACGGTGACCCTCAACTATCTATAAACATTAGGAGTCATTAATAAAGATATTTTTCCTATAATGTTTTGTATTGATTACAAATTCTATTGATTTTTATGAAACATTCAAAATATTTTAAACGTCTTAAAGGGATAGAAGCAGCATTTCCGGTGGTTTGACTTGGATTTGAGGGTAAGCTGTGAACACTATTACTGATTAGTTTAGTGGAACATCATGTTTCTAAGTTCTGATTAACTCCCAGAAATGCTGCACCTGTACCTTAATCAAAATCTTGTTGAGGCATTTAGGAGCTCGAAGTACAGCCTCAGAAATCAATAGCCTAATATATAATAGCATAATGTTCTTTTTCTTTAAATTCAGGCAACAGAGGGAAAATGTAACAAGCCTAAACCTGGTATGATGGATTTAGTTGGAAAAGCAAAATGGCAGGCATGGAATGGTCTTGGTGATATTTCACAGGTAGATATTCAACCAAATTTGGTCTATTTTCAGTATTATCCAGAATATCCTCAACATCGTTATGATGTTACTTTTGGGAAAATGGGAAGCGGAATGTTTCTCAGAAGGAAAAGTTGGATATTGTAGTTTCTAGTTGGACATTTTTAGAAGAAATTAGTTTTTCTGAGTTTCTATCTAATTATATGACAACCAGACTGAAAAATACAATAATAAACACACATGGCATTATATGTAAAATACATACAGTATGCTGTCCAAATCTACTTGTACTATTTGTTAGAAGTTAGAATTAAAGCATTTTAACTTACTGTTGACTATAATATACAATATATTATATTGTTGTCAATGTAGATAAAGTTGAGAAGGAGTCTAAGAGGTATTCAGTTTCATTCTTTGTTCTTTTTAGGATGATGCTCAAAAGAAGTATATAGATTTAGTGAATGAATTGATAGCAGCTGATAGTCCAGAACCTACCAGTACTACTGATAGCAAGTTTAAAACTATTCTTGTTAATAAAGAGAACAAAATATATAAAATTACACTTAATAGACCTAAAAAGATGAATGCTCTGAATCATTTGGTAAGAAATTTTACTAAATGCAATATATAGCTATCAATATTTGTATCCATTTACATAAAATGCATTATGATGTGCTTGAAAATCTAGATTAGCATTGGCAATGTAAGAGAAAGAGGAATTATTTCTTCCAGCTTAGTGTACTAATAAAATAAGATATAATTTGGATATCAATAACCCATAAGCTGAAAAAACTGTAGGTATGAAATAATTCAAGATATTTTATAGAGTATCAAAGATCTAGTGTGATATGGTCGTGATTCAGCTGAAAGGTTTTATTTGTTGTTTATTTTCTAGATGTATGAAGAAATAATGCAAGCTCTTGATGAAGCAGGAAAAGACAACTCTGTTTTGACTGTTATTACTGGTGAGTATTAATCTTGATTCTTCATACACAAGGCATTAAACTCTTTCTTTCACTTTTGTAAATAAGATTTGTTAAAAAGGAAATTTTTGTTTTTAGTAAAAAGAGCAACTAAGAAATCACGAATAGCTGACTGATATTGTTATAGCTATTCGTGCTAGTCCTGTTTTATAATCAAACTCTCACTATCAATTGTTTAAAACTTTCTCTTGGAAAAGCTTCAATTCTAGATTCACAATTTTTTTACAAATCCCATTTCCAGTATATGCCAAATTGTCCAAGCAACGGAATCTGTCTGATGAATGACTGGTCCCATCTGAATCTGTCTTTGTACTGTCTCAGATTGAACCAAGCTAATTTATTATGTTATTTTTGTAGGTACTGGTAATTATTATTGTAGTGGTAATGATTTAGAGAATTTTACTAGTACTGGAGGTGCTGATATTCCTGCAATGGCTAAACAAGCCAGAGAAATCTTATAGTAAGTGAGAACCTTCTTTATATTCTTACACATTTTGATGACATGTGTAAGCAACATCTCATATGATTAACATCTAGAATAAAGAAAGTAAAAAAGATATTAGATAGATGACTCGTGACTTCTCTTGGTCAAAATCAGTTACAGATATTCTATATGAGTCTGATGCAGAAAAGTAGGACGTAAAACTCCATTCATTTCATTTCTCTATAAGTCTGAATGTAATGTAATTCATAAGTTAAACCAGGTGTGTTCATCTTACCTTATATATACTTCTATTTTTTTTAATCTCTGTTTGTGATCTTCTTTGTGGCTTAGTGAGTTAGACGCTTACTGGCTAAACTGAAGGTCCAGGGTTCAATCCTGGCATAGGTCGAGATAAAAATTTTGAATTTTCAACCTGGTTTCCCCCTGTCATTGAGGGGGGCTGACATGGAAAAAGCGTCTAGTCGTTGGGATGGGAAATAAACAGAGGCCCAATGTGCTATTGGCTGTGCATGTTATAGATCCCTTGACAGTTGGAAATCGATAAAGAGTAGGCTTATGCCGCTTTCCTAGCAAAAATTTCCCTCATTGTACCCTGCATGGCGTTGCCCGTCTTCATTAGCCCACATGGTGCTGAAAAGTAGGACGTATAACTCCATTCATTTCATTTTCATATAATCTTCTTTCTTCAAAATATATGATGATAAATTGTGAGCTAGAGTCAGCTATCATGGCTGTCATATAACTAATATGTTAACTATTGTCCTTTCAGCCGATTTGTTGGATCATTTATAAGATTTCCTAAGCCATTGATTGCTCTAATAAATGGACCAGCTGTAGGTATATCAGTTACTACACTGGGTCTGTTTGATGTAGTATATTGTACTGATAGAGTAAGTTAGTTCTTTAAATTTTCTCTTCTTCTATTGTTCGTAATCTAATACATGCTCTTTTATCTTTTAGAACTGATGGAAAGAAGACTTAATATTCATTAGATTTGTTGTAGATTACCAATACAGTTTTTATGTTCAAAACCAAATACTGTGATAACTCCACCTTATTTTAGCAGATTTTTTTTTTGGGACCTTGAACAGTGTTTTATGAATTTCTTTGCTCTTGATATAAGTTTGTGATAAAGAAACATTAGTATGTTAGTCAGTATAAATCGTCGCCTAAGCTAACTATAGATGTTCTATCATATATTTGTTTATTGCCATTAATGAACATTGTGATAATGTTGCACACGGGGTGCACATATAACACAAATTAAATCATGATATTATAATCTGTGTTTGATTCATGGAATTATCAGGAATGTCTAAAAAATTCCAGCATGAGTGAAGTAACACATGAAAAATATTCATTAATATCCTTCTCTTTTCAGGCCACATTTCATACACCATTTTCATCTCTAGGTCAGTCACCTGAAGGTTGCTCATCTTATATATTTCCTCAATTAATGGGTTCAGCAAAGGTAAATCATTCAAAAATTCTATTTAAGATTTAACAGTGCTGCAGGCTAGTAGGCTTGTTCTGCTGCCCTGCCAAATTTTTGTAGCACACTGCATGGTATTACCATCTGTAATAGGCCAATAAGGAGCAGGGAATCAGGATGTAAAAATTCATGTTATTTTCTATTTTATTTCAGGCCAGTGAGGTATTATTGTTTAATAAGAAATTAACAGCTCAGGAAGCCTTAGATAGAAATTTAGTCACAGAAATATTTCCTGATGCCAGTTTTGAAAAAGAAACAATGGCTAGAGTGACAAAATATGCCCAGTTACCTCCACAGGTGATTTTTACATTTATTACTTTATTTGGCATTGACTGTCCTCATTAGCCAAAACAGGCTCAAGGGTTCTTGTCAGCACATGCACATGGTTTGGGAAATAGGATTAAATGTGATATTTTAACCTGTTAGTGAAATATTGAAACTGACTGAACAAGAAAGAAGACATTTATATGATACTATACAAGGATTCTCCAACCATGTTTATTTGACATAACCACATTATTATTCTTAAATGAACAGTTATTAGAGTGCATTCAATTTTATAAGAGTAACTTAAACCAAAGAAATTATGGCTAATTCACCCTGTAATAATCTTTTTAAGTACTTCACCCTTCATTTGGTATTTTTAAAAAATTTGAAAAACCTCATGCTTTCATCAAGACAAGTCCTAATACACTCTAACACTGATAGTAATTTCAATTTCAGAGTTTACAGAAATCAAAGAATTTGATGCGTCAGATGCAGAAAGATAAATTAGATAAGGTGAACAGTGAAGAGTGTGATTTATTAGTAGAAAGATGGCAATCAGATGAATGTATGAATGCTATCATGAATTTCTTTAAAAGGAAAGAATCCAAATTATAAAATGTTCTTACAAGTTTTCCTATATCAACATCAGTTCAATTTTAAGAGATTTTAGAGTGACTTCTAAGAAAAAGAACTTTTCATTTTTTCCTCCAACATTATTGTGAAAGGTTATACTGTCATCATTTCCAGTCTGAAATCAAGTTCCAGGGAGTTTTTAGCATTTGATGGCACTATAATATCAGTAATATTGGCATGGAAGAATGTTAATAATTCTCTGAAATTCAAGTCTTATATTTCTTATTATTGAAATACAGACACGAGAAAAAGAGATTGAGGAAGATTCTTGACTTTTGATTTTCGATTGAAATTGATTCTGATTTCTTAAAACCATTGTCTATGGTATATTTGAAATCATTAACATAGGTTGTGTATGTTAATTGTCTGCACTGTATTTAACATAATTTGTATTATTATTACTGAAAACAGATTGAATAATATATCTTGTATTTATTGTCTATTAAACTGGTTAAGTTTTCTGTATATTGAGTCACACTTAATTTAAATGCAAATGTTTGGTTTGCTGATATCACTTTACCATTCAGAATTCCTACTGATCATCGTTTGTTTTATCAAAATCAAAGGAGCTAGTAATACACATACGTGTGTACTTGCATCATTCACTCAGTTTCTCACCAAACCAGAAAAACCCTGCAATTAGCAAATTGATTCCTTCTGCCAAAAGAAAATACACAAGTTATTTGGTTATATTTAATAAACAATATATATACAAATATACACACAATATCAAACATAAATAATGATGTTTAACCCTTTGAACACTGAGTAAATAAAGATTCATATGTCCTGAACTCCACAAGTAATATAACTAAGGCATATGACATTTGCTTCTCCAACTGCAAAAGTATATTTGGCAATACCACATAGAGGCTATATGTGGCTGCTTATGTTGAAAGGGTTAACAAATCTTGTCTAATCAATCTGTTATGAATAATTGAATTGATAAAAGTTCTTGATTTAATAATATGAAGATTAAAGAAGGCTAGATGACAAAATTAGAATAAAGATCTAAATAACATATTTTGTAGAAACCCTGTCACAAGTGTCAAAATTCAGTATTAATTGTGCATCATGGTGATATTGGTTACCTTCCTTAATTAGGCTCAATTAATCTCTATTATATAGAGAACTACAATGCATATCATTATGAATAGTAATTAGCATGGAATAAGGCAAACCATTTACCACAGATTAAGTTTTGATATAATTCTTCATTAACAAATATAACTAATAATTTAAAACAAAGTATTTGCCTATAGAAATTTAATGCAATATAAAATGATGCTGGATGGCTTAAGTTATATTATTTATAAAATATTTTAAAAAGTTAAAATACATGCTGAATTATAAGTGAAAAATTATTTGTAATCTAAGCAAAGAATTAAGAAATGATTTTTCAATAAACAATGGGATTTTCTGATGAACAATGACATATTATAATGAACAATCGTTTATATTTACAATACGTGTAATTATCATCTCATATAATTTGTTTGAGACAGGCTATGTATTATTAATGTCTGTTTATGTAAAGGACGTATCAATTTGAAACACTTTTTGTGTGACAATAGCATGTTGTGAAGATGTTGCAAGCTAACTTTTGTAAGCACATCAAATTTCACTGATAATTTAAAAATAATAAGTTACTTAAATGAAATATCAGCTTCAAAATAATAGTGGTTGTAATAACACTGTTTATTCAACATTCACATATTGTAACATATCATTTTCCCATTTGTTAGCAATAGAAATTTTCAGCAAAGTATTGGACATTTTTCAATCGAATTTCCTCTGCTAATTGCAATGAATGTACACTTTGAAGCTTTGATATTTTCCATCATTCACTCCAAAACAGTAGTAATATTTTTTGAAGTTGATTGTTAAATTTGATTTGACAAGAAAACTGAGAGAAAGTATCAATATTTACATTCATGATATGATTTTGTACATGTGATATATTGAATACAAGTTAAAGATTCAATAATATGTATATATACATGAGGCTAGGCTAATATAACTATTACAAAACAAGTTAGAGGTGAGCTTTCCTACTGTTTAATGCTTTATAATTTTAATATTACCACAAATTGAAATCAATAGTCCTAACACTAGTAGTAAACACAAAAACATCATTCAAAAACTGGCAAAAATTAAATCAAACTCTATCAATTCCAAATGACTGAAATAAAGCTAGCTTGATGATAATTTTGGGTACTCAGACCTATTGAATCTAGCTTTTGCCCCCTATTCTCAGTGGAAACACAGTTATCTTAAAGGGATCTATTGTATCAATGTCGCCAATAGACATAAAGAGAAAATCTTAAACCATACCCAATACAACAAAGTGTGGCAATATGATAAATGATCAATAACAATATAATACATCAACACCAAGTAACGTCATGCCCTTATAACAGTTTTATATCACAATACAACAGAGCACTGTCTTTATCATAAAGCACCATTTCAACATTCTTGAATCCAGGGTGGTATGTGTTTATTTACATAATCCTGCCGAGTCTAAACAATGGAAGAGGGATGACTTCTTATTGGGAATATTTTCCTCTTCATATTGAAGAATGTTGTTGACAATTTAAAAATTAACACTTTGTAACACCATATTGGTTCTATTTCCATGACTAACATTTCGCTTATAAGAAAGTTATAAGAAAGCCTCTGTACATTCCAGAGCATCTGATTTGGCAGTTTTTGTCTATTAGTTCGTGTAGTATAGTAATGAGCTAATCAAACCAAAGGTACCCAAACATCAGATTCATCATGATCCTGCTCTCAAGCACCATGACTACCATCAATTACCTTATCTGCCATACCAGTTAACTATAAGCCAAGGTTAATTTGTCATCCACCACCACCAGAAAATTGGAAAATGTCTATTCTATGAATGACACCATATGCATACCGTATATTTCCGAATATAATGCACAGTTTTTTACTCCGAAATGGGTGTGCACTATACACAGTGAAATAACTTTTGAGTTTTTCATGTTAGTCTACGTAAGGTGATATGTGGAATATGCCTCACTCACTATTTTGGTGTTTGCATTATGCCATCTCCAACCTCAAATTTTTCGTCAACATTATTTTTCCTGATTTTGATGGGGCAACGAAGGGGTGGGAAATATACGGTAATTTTTGTCATCATCATGATGCTTGTAGTTGTCAGATATTAACCTAGTTCAACTCACTGCCAAATAAATCATTAATGAAATAAACTCATACTACCCTGAATTCAACAACATATTTTAACAACAATAATAACCACATGATCTTTGATGTATGGCTTCTATTTGATTATATTGTGAAGAGATTCTAGGATCTATTCAAATACAGGATATTCATGGCACACAGGAAATTAAATAACACCTAATTCAAATTGATTAATCTTGAATATTTGATGCATTAGTACTATTGAAGAAATAAAACGTATTGAATGTCCTATTAGGCATCCATATACATGTATACAAAAATAAAATAAAATAATAATTAGTGCAAATTTAACTAATTTAATTGATTTATCTGGAATAAGTCATTCAATTATAGCACTTTATAGTTCACCCACCACTAGGGAATAGAGTATTTTCAGTATAGCTGAGCAACAATTTTCGTGGGGAAAGGCTCAAAACAGAGAAGAGCAGTGTATATCAAGGTAGAATAAATAGTATTGGAAATTACACATGATAAACTTCTATAGGTTCAACTACTACTAAAACAACCTCAGTATTGAAGAAGACTGTTTGCCCACATGCTTTACACTGTCCCAAGACATGTATGAATATCTTTGCTGGACTATACCTATTCAACATATTGCTTAAATAACACACTTCTATAAACAGTGTGTAGGATTTGTTTCCCTACACTTATCATATATAATAGAATATTGGTATATATAGAAAACTATATTAATGAAGATGCATTTCTTTAAACATGAATACACAAAACCTTGACCTATATATTGTAGATTTTGTAGGATCCACAATGTTCAAATACTTTTCAAATATTTATTCAAAAAAATTAAATAACTCCTATCTAAGGCTATTCTGAACCTTCCTTTACTCAAAGTCTGCTATCCATTGTGATCCCCATACAAATCTCCTTATCATGACCTTAAAGTCTCAATTAAAATTTAAAGAATTGTAAATTAAAAGTTAGATACACTACTAAACTATCAACGTTTTTGATAAAAAGATCGAAAATCTCTATTTTAACCGGTGTTTAATTCCTAAATATTATTAAAACTCTGTGAAAATGCTAGTCTAATAAGTAAATGTGATCTTCAAGTTCAAAAATATAAAAAATAATCTATCTTCCTGTGGAGATTAATCCAAATCCTCAGTAGAAATACTCTTGGAAGAAACAACCTGAGGAGTTAGGCCCTCGTCAAATGATAAATTGGGGATTTCCAGGTTATTCTGGTCTTCTTCCTCTTGTAAATCAAATAAATTAAAAGGCATTCCAGCATTAAACTGCATCAGTTCATTCCCTGCAATAAGAAAACAATATGATTGTTGTGGTATTGTAAAATTTTAAAGTATGAATAATGATACCGACAGATGTATGGGAACTTTCATGTCATATATTAACCATGCACCACTTTGAGTAAATAATTCTATGGAATATCAGCAAGTAAAAGTTACAATGTAGGCACTGTAAATAAAAACAATATTAGTATCATGTTAAGAAATATTATATTAGTTTGTATTTGCCCTTATGTCCAATTAATGGTGTCAAGCCATCTTCAGGACATTTCTTAATAAACCTGTGTGATTGATATTGAAATAAGTACATTTTGTTAAATGTTGTGGTCTGTAAGTTATAAACACAAATATCTCAGGTCTATTTAGATGTATAGAAAATCTGTGATCTGTAAAAGGTAAGGTAACACTTAAGGCTGAATCATAGTTATTTATACCTATAAACACTTATATAGCCTCAAAGAGAGTAATATGAAAACATTAGAACTAGTTAGTCCAGTATTTCAACAGTGAGTTTTCATCACACATCACAGAAAACATAATTAATCATTCTATAATTAAGGAAAAACAATTTGGCTTTCTGTTTTCATGGTACATAATTGTTCACAAAGTATCATATTTAGCAAATTTTGAGAAATGACAGCCAACCATCAGATGTGTTTTTTTTCAATTTATGTATATTGATCCCTTTGCCTCATGTTAACCTTGATTGTGCTAAGGCCAAATTAAGCCAATGAAAAATTGGATTCTGGTAGTTCACTCATATAGGACTCCACTAAAAATAACCCCCTTCTGACTTTCTGTCGATTTGTAACTATCAAGAAATTAAGCCCCTATGGAAATGACAACTGGATGATTGTATATAAAAAAAAAAAAAAAAAAAACCATTACAGAAAATACATGGACTGTTTGTTTATGTTAACTATGGACATGTATACTGGATGACTATAAGAAAAGTTCAATCCTACCTTCAATAAGTCCAGAATCCGAGGAAGGTGAGGAGGCCATTGTTACAGATTGTTGTGGATCAAACATCTGTAAAATAAACAAATATACCCTGTACATATATAAATAATACATCATATTTACAATCTGAACATTACATGATTTGTTCTGGCCTTGCTTCATAATAAAAATACTGCAAAATTATATTCTAACAATTACAGCAAAAACTAAGATAGGAAAAACATAATTCTTCCAAGTCTCCATGTGATAGCATCCATTTAAATTACAGCTTTGTTCAAGGTTGGTAAAGAAATAACTTCAGGATGAAAAAAAGCTGGATATTGTATTTAAGCAAGGAATAATGTGACAGGACATAGCCATCTTAATACAGAAATTAAATAACTGACACATCTACATGCATCTACACTGCTATCAACTCCCTCAAAAATTTGTAAGACTAAACGTTCAGTTCAGAAAAACAATATTTTTGATGTTATCAAATCGTTAATTTCAACTATTACGCTTGTAATTTAATCTATGATATTTGGAGAAATGGGTGCAGCAATTATTAACCTCATAATGTCAACCTAATAACTGCATGATAACAATCACTTGTAAATGTTGACAGGCTAAACTTCAGAGGATAGTTTTTGCTGCATTACAAATGACTTGAATGTCAGATTTTGATACTTAGTAGTTCTATGGATAATTATGATTAAGCTCTCAGGTGGTAGGACAAATATTCCTATGACTGTATTCTTTATAACATTCTGTATCTTAGAATGCTGATTCTATTTTCCCTATACATGGCTTTTTTTACTCATCACAAAGACTTTAATACCATCTTAAACTCAAAATAAATAAATCTAAAAAATTTTGGGCTTATTTCTAGCAAAATATTCAATTCATTAAGTGTTATATATTCATTTTGAACATAAATTTAGAATATATTTCATTGATTTATTGCTTTTATTTAATTTATTCAATAAATCTCTAATTTGTGGCCTATTTCTAGGAAAATATTCAATTCATTGGAATTCATAGGAGTTTTTAACATTTGTTTTGCACATAAATTTATTAATTTATTGCCATTTTCAAAATTATTGAAACATTTCATTATTATGGGATTCTTATTAAGAGTGGTATCTCAATTTTTGTAATAAGTAAGTTTACAGAATTGTGAAAATCAAGTAAAATGCCAGTATAACTTACAGAATCATTAATATTTGGAATTGGAGTTTCTGGTGTAAACAACTGTTAATAAAAAAATAAAATAAATTTATAAAATATTAGTTAATACATAATAATATTAGTGCTCATATTAGTCACTGTATACCACTTGATAAACAAGACCACATTTCTTGTTTCAGACACTTGATCAATTATCAGACAGCGTAAATTTCTAAACTTGGAATTTAATTTTGTGCTGGAAAATTCACAACTTCACAAAAGATATTTTATTTTGAATATTGATAGTGATTAAATTTCTATTTTCAATTCTTGTGTGCAATCTTTTGTATTTTGAAAAATAAACAATGCTTGCAAAAATTGTCAGAAATGTAGCTCAAAATTGTGTAATGATTGTTGGCTAATGAAGCATAAAAATCAAATTTTAAAGCTATTTACATATCACTGACTATATATAAGCAATCTACCACCACCAAGATTACAATAATGCAATATAATTGTTAGTAAAACAGTGTAATATTTGTGCTTTTTCTTTCATATCAGAAGATAACTTCCTTTCAGTTTATTTCATCTCCAAGTAGAACTCAAATTAAAATTTGCTTAATACTTAACTTATTTTCTTTAAAGGGAGAGATTCGCCATTTTATGGGGTGGATTTGTTTTTTTTTCATATATATATGACTTTCAAATAAGGATAATTCTGGACACATAAATTTCGACAGTGACCTTTGAATACTTATTACACATTTATAACTGATTAGTTTAGCTAAAAAAAACTGATGGCAAACCCATGCCTTTAAAAGGACTGTTACTTTAATATTCTCAAAGACATTCAAAAATATAAAAAAATAGCTTGCCAGGCAAGGTAATATATGCCCACTTGCAGCTTTGATTATGACTAAAAATATATAGAAGTACAGTAACAATCACCAGTATGAAATATTCAACCTTCAGACATACACTTCTTTTGTACTTTTTGGGGCAATACTGAACAATATAACCAAGTTTTGTCAAAATCCAGCAAGAATTGTGCATTTTAGTGTTCAAAAGCTAAAATTTGAAAGTGTTTTCAAGGACAAGGTCAATAACTACCATAAAAAGGTTTTTGATTTTCAGTAGGGTTCCTCCATGATAATAAACAATTTGACCAAACTTCGTCAAAATCTGTCAATTGTGTTTACCAACATTTCAAGAACAAGGGCAATAACTCAGACTTAATTCCTTTTTTTCTCCATTTTTTTGATTTTCAATAGGGTCCATCTTTGGGTGATTAAAAACAATCACACCAAGTTTCAACAAAAACAGTCACGAATTGTGCCTTCTAGAGTGTTTTCGAGGAATTGTGGATGGACAGACGGCAATATACGCCACCCATTTCATGTGGGTGTATAAATATCTAGCTCAAGTCTTAATATCAACGCTGCAGTGTTCAAATACATGAATTCAATATATATTGTGAATTTTAAAACATAAACATTTGTTACCAAAGTAAAAATTGAAAGACTTACCCCCATTAGTTGATTGGCATCCAAGTTGAATTGTCCAGAGGCTAAGAATTCTTTCAAACCTTCCAAATCTTTCTGTGTTAAATCAACATGTTCATTTACATCAGTTCTAAAGGAAGACAAAGTTGATTTCTCAATATAATGAACGATGCCAAAAAATATCCACGGAAAAAAAGAGTATTGGAGAAGACCATCATGACTGATAACTAGTTAAGCATACAGGCATAGCAAGATCATTATAAGCATAGCAAGAACATTTACATAAGATTTTTAATTGTGAAAGTTTTCCTCATTGAACACTTCAAAACATTAAGGTTTCTTCCACTTTACAATGATTGGTTAAGTAAGTAAATAGTGGTTTACTCAAACATCGAACGTTAATTATCTGAAATTTTGTATAAGTGGACTCAAAGCTCGAAAATAAATAAAGGAACTCACGTTGGACAAGTGGTAGGATTGGTATACATTGGAGTTGCAGTTGAAGGCGCGATAGATGAAGTAGGTAGAGAAATGGTTCCTGTTGTAGGATTAGACTGATTATTACTGTGCATTATCAAATCATAGAAATAGTCTGGCTTCACCACTTCACGAGACGCCTCCTCTGTCAATGTGTATGGTGCTGGACTGTCCACCTTGGAACTGTCAGAGGTTGTTACTGGCTCGGTAGGCATTGATATGGGTGAATAAGAGGTGTTAGTTGGCATCATCTGAAATATAACCACTGTCAATTACCTTCAATCAAGTAATAGAGAATGAGAGTTACCTGGACTTCATCTTGAGCACCTGGCTTGAAAAATATGTCAAACAAATGGTGGTTTTAATCTTGTTCAATTTGTCGATCGTGAAAAAGGTATGTTCTCATTATTACAGACGACCCAGCTGGATATGGATAATCAGAGAAAGGTCCATTCGAAGAGCTATGGCCAAGGCCTGGCTGGTAGAGAGCAACCTGGTAAACCTTTCCTGAGTTCCTTTCCTTCTTTCTTTGAATGATGTCTGAAAAATATCTTTAGCCTACAGACTGCAATAACGTACCTCTTGCTGTTGATGTTGTTGTTGCTGTTGTTGTATCAAGTTCAAGGGTGAAGTTGTTTCTCTGATGTTCTTATCATTATTATGATAAACATCAGTCACATCATGTATGATCGGGCCAGAATGACTCGAGTTACTCTGAGGCTCTTTAGGCTGAAATACAAACATAACATAAGCCATTTGTTACATAAGTTACAAGGCATGAAAATCATCCTTTATAAACAACTTTTGTTTTTCGAAATTAAATCAATGTTAAATGCAATTCCACGTTTTCGTATAACTAGCAGGGATCCTTGAAAAGCTTAAGCTAAGGGCCGCATTTGAGATGCTTTGGAAATTATTCTACATCTTTTCATCCCTTAAATCAAATTCTTAGTTGTTGTTTTCTGAAATACAAAAAAACACCAAAACAATACACCACTAGTTGATAATTATCAAACAAAATAGGAGTAATAATATATACTTACAGATTCAACAGAATAATTATCATTAGGGTTAGTCTCAGTGATAGATAAAGCTCTGTTTAGTTTAGGTATCTTATTACTGGGTTGACTCCCTGGTTCTTCTATCATCAACTGCATTCTACGTTTCATACCAGACAGACCTCTATTACCACCAGCTAGGGTCACCAAAAACTGGATCAGCTAAAATTAGAAATGAAGAACTTGAATAGATGTTCTAACTCAGAATTTCTTCAACTACAATTATACAACAGTTGTATCATATAACAAGACTTTGTGGTAAACGTCTACAGAAAGTCTCTTTTTTTTCCTTCCATATTTTCATCTCCATCGTTATCTAACCAGTTTTCAAACACAGTCACCTACTTTTCGATGTTGTTCTAAAGCAATCACATGTATCTTGTTGGTCCCGTTTACAAGGATGAATTGTGGGAGAGCTAAATTCGCTATTCCAGAAATCATAAAGCAGGCAAAAAAACAAACAGAACAAAATTGTGATCATATTTTAATCAGATGGAATGCAAACATACCTTATTGACAATCTGTTGTTGTTTAGAATGTTTCTGACGAAGACTGGCCACTTCTCTCCATAACACTTCATTTTCACTAAAATACAAAACAAAACAAAAAAATGGCCATTTCCGAGCATGTTGATTGGCTGGTTTGATAATCATGTGACATCTTGTTTATTTATCATCTTGATCCAAATACAAGTCTTACCTACTAAAGGTAAACAAGGTAACTAAATGTAATAGTTAAAGACCTATAGCAAACGGTTTAGGGTTATATAGGCTTAGGCTTACTTACTTTCTGAGCTGCTCTAGTTTAGAAGTGACTGTATCCTGTTTTCCTTTGATAGTGTGTACATCAGCTAATAGTTCAGATACATCATCATGTAGATATTTCATAGAATCAGACTTGGGATTGGATGTCTGAAAATATTTTTATATGTATGTGAAATGATATCATGTGAATGTGGTTGAACATGTATTCTTAATCAAATCATTATGTTCTTATTGCATACAATCAAGATTCTAAACCAATTATAAATGTCCATGTATGTACAGTCTGGATAAACAAAAAAAGACTTTTTGACCTTTCTTGATCGGTCACTCATTGGTAATTCCGTTCTAATTACATAATTCTCAAATAATTATGGACATGTAGAGACGAACTGGTATTTTTCAAGTCATTAGAACACCTCTACTTTCTATTCATATAAGAATTAGCATTTTCATAAATGAAAATGAGGGAACCCATCTTTAATAGCATGTCCAGACCTTTTTCATTATCAGTTTGTGAGATTAGGAGATTATGAACAATTAAAATGTTGTCACTATATCCTATAAAATGGAATAATTCTTACTCTTCTCTTGATGTTTTCTAATAATTTCTGTTCACCACGTTGAAAGTAAGAATGGTGAAATTCAACATCATCTTTCTCAATCTTTAATGCACCCTGTTCAACAGCACCCACTTTACGGAAGCCATCTACAACAAATACAAGACAGAAGAGAAATGAATTGATACTTGTGAAATGGGTTATGGCATTTATGTATGTTAGAAAAATCATATCCCATGAATTATCATCTTATATATCATAAGAGTTCGATGTTTTGCAGCATGCATTTTAAAATTAATACATCCTTAATACATGAATAACATCTTATCTTGCTTCATAATCCTTAATATTATTACATGTATATGATAATTGATATATCAATTTCCTCTTCTGCATATTTATCTCATTAGATAATAAATACTGAAGATTTAAAGATTGCTAGCTTTTAAAGAAAGCAATTACAAATTATTCGCATAATATTAACTTAAAATGATGATATAAACTTTTAGTCCTGTATATTGTCATCACTTAAATTTTAGATAAACAATTAAAAATTGCTGAGATACCAGTACAAAGTTTAAAGCAATAGTTTCATCAATAAATTCCATTTAGACATTAATACTTGTCTTAAAATATCATTGACTGATTATCATATAATCAACTCCACATTTAATTATATCAGGTAAATAAACATGTGGTAGAAATATATACTCAGTATATTAATCACTGACTGTAAACTTCAGTTGATTATTGATGTAAGATTTAAACAATATATAAGACCTGAATATATTCATCTCATCTGATGATAACAAATGTAAATTGCTTTGAATGTTTTGTGCTTAATGCTTTGTTATTAAAGAAGTGATAACATAATATACTTCTGGGTGTCTTTTCTGATATGATTATTAATACCATCAACATTCAACCACTATTAGTTAATATTTCCTACTGCAGTACTGATATAGATAGTTTTACTTACACATATTCAACTGCCTTATGAAACTGGATATGTTGTTGTGTTTAAAGTAATGAGGAAGAACTTCTTTAGCAAATCTTGTTTGGTCTGTCACATGAAAACTTTTTCCACTCTGCAGAGAGAAATATCAATTACAATTGTACTCCCTGTCCTCAATCAGCTAATAATTTGTTTTCTTATTTCACAAATGTTTAAAAGAAAATTTTCTTCTGGAAGCTATTTGTCGTACAATGGCTTCAGGTCATAGAAATATAAGGTTTGGAAACATTAAAAATATACACAGGGATTTCTTGCAAAAATTACCCACGTTTTCAACTGAAAATAACCCTCTAATGCAAATAATAATTTGGCATTGGTTGACATTCTTATCAGCCTCAAGAAAAAATCTTCGGCTCTCAGTAGCCTACGCTGCTATTTAAAGTTGATATTTCAATTCATACGAAAATCATTAGGTGAAATGGGATTCTAAATATATTGGGCCATGGGGACAAACAAAAGAAGCTGACACTGACAACAATGAAGTTAGAAAATACATTTTCATCTAAAGAAACAATAAATCATCAATGACATAAGATAAACTATGTCCTTTGTTATTGTTTCTGGTTTACTTTCTAGCCATGTGTCTGTAAATAGTATTTCTATGTCATCATGCAACCTAGATTCAACAATGCTTCACCATCAAGCCATGGGACATAAGGTTACAAGTTCAAATAAATAAGATTGCTTACTAATAAGTATACATTTTTACTCCACACCTGAACCTTCTCTTATTTGCATGCCAAGGAACAGGGTGACACTGACACTATGTTATATAATATTAATGTCAGGTTTTTGTTTAGTAAATTCCCCTTTTCACACCACTCTTGAGAATATTGACAATGTAACTTACACTATCCCAACATATCAGATCGTTGCATGTTGGGTCTTCAACAAGCGTCCATAACTTCAACAGAAACGCAGGAACGTTCCCGGAGTTGCTTATCGTGTTTTCTTGGTTTGGAAACATATCATCCAGGAGCACATTAACAAATTTGTGAGGATAATATAATCTCTGAACTTTCTGCACTTACAGACTTCGGCATATTCGTGTGCGCATGCGCCAAATAACTCTGATGCACAACATCAACATAACTATAAAGTATTTAAAGGGATACATAAATGTCTATTTGTAACGAACGTACTATAACATCACTAATCACCTAAAATTTATTACGATTAATTTGTGTTTATTTACCCTTTAATTTAGAAAAGGCTACTTTTTTTTATTAGATAAGTGATCATAGAAAGCGAAAGAAATATCGCGTCGTTAGAATGAAAACAAAGGTGATGTGGGCAATTAAAAAAAAATAATGATAATGAGAAGAAGAAGAAGAAGAAGAAGAAGAAGATTGCTTGATTTCTAATTAACTATTCCACTGCTATATAATCTTTATGCCTAGCAATCTAGATATTTGATTTTATGTTTTTGCCACATGCTATCTATCATCTGCCGAAACTGTCAAGCAACAAATGTTTCAAATTATTCAAATATTCAGCCAATCAAGTGCCCTGTTAAATAAAACTATCAAGTAGGTTCGGTGAATTCTCGTCTGGTATATTCGTATTTAGATATAGACTTGTATAGTCAGCTCGCCAGCACATAGGTTTTTAATGGTTAGCATAAATGATCAAACCTTTTGAGGTGAATAAGCTTGACACAAAATTTTTTAAAGAAAGACTTTATCACTTGCGACCGTGACCAATGCTTCTACAACCTACACAAGAAGATTTAATAATCCAACCTAAAATACCTCTGGCATTTGCTGCATTATGTGATAGATAGACATTTGCAATAAAGCTGATGGGGCTTTCCATTATCCCTTCTAAAACCCTGATTGACAATATTACTATGTAATTAAATCAATCAAAGTCGCATGTATTGTCTTCTGACATATCTTTTGAGACCAAAAGTCGGGTAAGGATTAGAAGGCTATCTCTAAAAATGAAAATCTTTAGTTACTTGGGGGCAATTTTCAAAGCTTAAAACCGTTTTAATAAAACATTTAATGATAGGGTCTAGAACAAGTCATCTTGAACCTTATTATTTTTTTTATTTATTTTTTTTATTTATTTTTTTTATTTATTTTTTTTATTTATTTTTTTTATTTATTTTTTTTATTTATTTTTTTTTTAAACACTTTTATTTCAACTCTGTACAACATACATAATACAATCAATATACATAGACAACTCATAGAAACAAAACTTAAATACGGTTGTTCTTCGCTGGTCATCTAAGTTAGAGGTGGCCCTCCAATCGAAATGTAGAGCGAAGCTATGGAGGGGTCACATAATCTCTAGATAGTCTCCAAAGAACATCTGACTAAAATAAAAACAAAAAAACATCAAGGATTAATTTTTACAAAATATAGGTAGAAGCAGGTAGAAATATTACATTTTATCATTTTCTTGGTACAACTTTCATCATTCTATCAAATTAAAGCTTCAGATTTTTTCTTAAACTATAGGGGGGGGGGGGGTTATTTGAGGGTCAAAAGCCTCAAGTATTTTGTAATAAGATTAGGGTAAGAATATTTTAAAATTTTCCCAATCTACCACGTCGTTTTTCTTGTTCTATTTTGTAATATATTCATCTGTGATTACTTGACTTTTAATATAATTTGTCATATTAATAATATTTGGTTTCTGTCCTAGGTTTTTTTGGCAATAAATATAATATTTTACAATTAATATAATCGCATGTATTATTGGGGGTTTATTACAAATATGGAGTATGATGGTATCTTCATTCAGTTCAATTGTGACTCCATATCTCATCATTATAGGTTCCCTATATACTGCCATATTGGTGCGACTTCTTTACATTGTAAAAATAAGTGTTCATATGTTCCATCCAACATTTCATCTTAAATAGAAGTACATTAATATTCAATATTCTTAATAAAATTTTATATTGCATTTCGACTATTTTTGGATTATGTATTGTTAATTTGGCTATATTATATATTCATTCCAATTGAAAATAGAATTTGGATAGATTTCTTGCCATTTCAATTCATTATTTTTGATAATAGTATCCTTATTTAGTAATATATCATATATATGAATATGGCGACTACTCTTATCTTATTATGTAGAAGCCTTCAGAGGTTCTAGGCCAGAACTGTACGAAACTCGCATAATCGCCTCAAATATACCTTAAACAAGAAATTTCACTGGTTTCACCCATTCCTTTTTATTTTGTATAATGGACCCATTAACCATTCATGATCTCACTAAATTGTCATGCAACATTTTCTATGTTCTATAACAAAAATTTTGATTTTTTTTTAACCAATCAAAGCATAAATCAGCTTTTGGCGCTATAGAGTCAAAATGGGCAGAACATGATATAAAGGAGCACCTTCACTATCCGTTCCACCAATCATACCTTAGTTTCAGAAACAGGAGTTTTTTTTTTAGCTAACAAAATCAGAAATAGTGTTCACAGCTCATCGTCAAAATTTGAGCCTTCCACTCCATAAGTATCCATAATTATTCACGTTTGAAAGTTAGAATTCGACTCGTATGCCGTATATAGAAAAGACATATATACAGAAATAGACAGTGAAATTTCTAGTTTGAGGTATATTTGAAGGGATTATGCAATTTTCGTGCGTTTTAGTACTTCTTAACACTATTAAAGCACATTCAAGACCCAAATAAATCCCCGAAAATGCTGACTGTTCCCATATAAGAATTCAATCATGACAGTGTAGAGGGACAGGTGCGCCATTTTTTTGGGCGTTGATTTGAGTGTTGAAAATATGTAAATAGTCTTTAGAAGTAGGCCTACTAGAAATGGAAGAAAATCGTATAATTCCTTTAAAAATACCCCAAACTACAAATTTTACTCTCTATATATGTCTTTTCTATATCACAGTTTATCTAAAAACGACGAGTCGTCATTTTAACATTCAAACATCCATTTGAAGTCTCAAATTTCGACGGTGAGCTGTGAACACTATTACTGATTGGCTTAACTAAAAAATTCCCGTTTCAGAGACTAAGATTCGATTAGTCAAAAAATGAATGGCGCACCTGTCCCTTTTAACATGCATTTTAATCAGGTTAGAAATTCGTATGATATGATATTTGGATCTTTAAATAGTTTAACACTACAGAGTTCCCCCCCTTTAATTGTGAAATCAAAAGTGGCGTGGCGCATCATTCTCCAATTTGTTACTGCAGTCTGAATTTCTTAGAATATTGATCTCTTTAAAAGGTGATATTTTGTAAAGAACTACGACATTTCGTTACTTGAATATACCAAAGACACAAAAAGATTGCTGATTTTGATACTAATTTCGGTGTGGATTTATTTTCTTCCAAGTCTATGGAAGTGTGAGTGAAAGTTACTGATCTGTCCATTGGATAAGCTTACAAAGTGCCCGTATGTTGGAATCGTGATGGCGATCAGAAGAAATAGATAGTTGGCCTGATTCCTGTCAAAGACATATTTTGGAAATAAAATCGGTAGTACCATGGTGTTAAAGGGACAGCTATGTGATTGGTTCAGTAAATTGGGTCCTTTCAAAAGAATTGAGTACATGTGTGCTTTACTTCACCTTTGCCTCCCTCTTGAACTGAGATTTCTTGGTTCAGTTTTGGAGGACCTCTGTAAAAAAGATTTTATATTTCTAAGAGAAGCCGAATCTCAAGCCAATAATGTGTCCATGCTTGGGAAGTTTAACGTGCAATTGCCTAATATTTTAATATCATTAACATTACTTAATTCTTCCAACACAAAGTGTGCTAATATTTTATATAAACTGCTGCAGGATTATCTTCAAAGTTGTTTTAATAAAATTTTGTCCAAGGAATTGTTGGATGAACAACAGAAAAATGCTTTTACTGACTTGGTAACAGTGTTAACTATAGCTGTCAATCATCCTGCCTTTAGCTTTGAACAGAAGCAATCGTTATCAGAGTTTTATCTTAGAGCTTTAGAATATTCTCACAAGGTAGGCTTACCAGTAAAATCAAATTTTATTCTTGCTTCAACAGTCTAATTAATTAAAGAAGAATTGTATATTAGATCACAGTGGCTCCTGTCCTGTTACCACAAAGCACATGTTTCAGATACAAAATGCTTGTTCCTAATATTTCTTCACTTAAATACCAATATATATAGATGGAAGTAACCCAAAATTTTAGTTAGACAGCCTAATGACAGTCAATGAAGCTTGCATTTTGTTTCAGAAGACTTGGACATTTATAACCTAACTCATGATGAGTGTATGCAGAATATTATCCCATTTACTATGAGACTTTTTCTGTTTCAGCTTGAACAAGAAGAACTTGATCTTGAACTATGCAGTCCACACAGTAGTGGCTCCTCACATCCACCAATACATCAACATGAAGGTTCGTTCAAAATAACAGGAAATATTTAAACTGTTAAAATATTACTCAATAAATTGATAATGGAGTGAGAGTCTTCAAAAGCTGTTAATTTGTACTGAAATAAAACGGTGAATAAACAGCAAAATTAATCTAGTGTTAAACAGCTGAATTTTACATCTTGTAATTTCGTTAGATCAAGCTCTATGTTCTATTTATGTCTTAAGGGCTGAACAGATTTGTTTACTCTTAAGGGAGTTGTTAACTAATTTGTAGCTAATTAGATTAATTATAAAGATTAATACTTGATGATTACTCTTATCAAGATTGATAGCTTGTTGTTTTACTTTATACCTATTTTATTGTATCATGTTTATTTCAGTTTGTATTGTTGGTATAGAGCTGAAAGATGTCAAGAGAAATTCAGATCACTTAGACTTGAACATCCAGGTGAGAAGATTTTTTTTAAGGCACTTTTTACAGAAAAAGAATAAAATTAAATTTTTAAGTTAATCCAGAAGCACTACATACACTGAATGATTTTTCATTGAATATTTGACTGCCCTATGACAAAATTATGAGTGATCAGGGAATATCTGGCATCATTGATCTAAAGATGCTCAGTTGTTGGCCAATGTATGAATGTTCCCAATCATTTGTCTTAACCCAGCTTAAATGGTTACCAATAGCATTCCAAGGATCATGTGACTACAGATGAAGAGATGCCGTCAAAAATCCTGCTGCATTCAGTCAAAAGATTTGCCATTGTTTGCTATGGTTTGTTTTTTTTTTTTTGCTCTATTTCATTGAAGGACTCGATAATAATGATGTTTATATTTGTATTGTTTTTCAGGTGAAATTGTCCAATGGAGTGATATTAGATATTTGGAAAACAAGTCAAGAAATTTATGATTTCAGCAACAGGGTAGGCTTTCATTATAAAAGACATTGAACTATGTTAGTAGATATTAACATTTATAACAATTATGAACAGAAAGGAAGTATTGTAAGGTGTGGATTTATTCAGACATATTCTAGAAAATAGTTGAATGAAATGAATATGAGTGTAACGTCTTCTTAAATTCTGATAGAAAGTAGTTAAGTCAGTATTTCTCAAGAGGTATTTTTAAAGAAAAAGTTTCCTGACAAACATGTACATGTCATTATTTTATTTCAGTTGAGCAGTATGTTTCATAATCATAATACAATCCCTGTCCTTCAATGTGAGTAATTGACAGATTTAGATCATGAAATTTTTTTGTATGAGATATTCCCTCTTTCTTATTTGCTCCTGGTGCAAGAATATCCAAAATAAGATATGATTTTTTAGCAATTCTTGTTATTGTGAAACAACACACACAATATGTATACACCCTATTTAACGGTTCATCTGAAGAAAAAAAAAATAGTTATTTATCTGCTAAGGCAGAACTCTTAAAACTTAAAAAAATACCCCGAACCCCAAGATGTCTGATATCAGTAACTGTTTAAACTGAACATAGTTTATTATTGTCAATAACTATTTGATATTTTCAGCATCAAATATTATAAAAGATGATAGAGGTCTTTTTGCAAATTATATCAGGTTGGTTTTATTTCTGTATCTTATCTCACAGGGTTGTCCTCTTCGTAACACAATGTGTCAAGTACCACTTTCTCTTCATCTGCCATGTGAACTAAGATCACAGTTGATACCCCAATATAATCATTAATACCCATCCCAACACAACCTCAACTTATTAGTGTTGAACACAACTGCCATCTCGATAAAATTTGGCTAAATTTCTGTCATTGACCGCCTCAAGCTATCCACAAGAATTGAGCCTATACATGATGATGTTTTCACAGTATACTGTTCTATAAAGTCATCTTCTTGAATTTTAAACTCTATATTTTTTTTTTTAGAAAAATATGTCAGTTACCAAAGAATATTTTAGACAATGAATATGTGTGTGAGTTTTTTGGATGTCATCAGATGAATAAAATGTTATCTCAAGTCAATTTATCACCAAAATCAACATATTGCCCTTCTTCTTCACCTTCTAATTTATCAGCAGGTACGTACGTATGGCAGTTAATATCAAATATATCTTCTTAGAAATCTATATTGGCCTTATAAGAATAGGCTATCCTAAACAAGGACAAAATATATGGATAATATACTCTTCTAAATGTAACACAATATTTGAGTATCACTATCTATACATTCATCTTCATGATGTCAAGCTGTTTCAAATTAAGTCTCATACCTTGATTGCAATAGCCACCTTTTTTATATCATGTTAATACAGTGCTTTGGTTGAATTGTACGCTAGCAGGGTCCATGACAGAAAGACTGTAAACAATTTGGAAGCAAATTTAATGAAGGGCTATGATTGGTTATATCAATTTTGCAGTCAAGGTTTTAGACTCGGTTTAAAAACATTGTGAAGATGCTACACGTGTATTGTAACAATATATATTTAAAGAATCACAGAACACAAATTATATAGATGTCAAGATTGAACATGTGGATGATAAACTTAGATTATTTGATTTTAAAATTTTTTGTTGATTTTTTATTTCAGATGAAGAACAAATTGGCATGCCAATTCCTCAATTTGAAATCAAGAGTCTGACATTTCAAAATGCTCAGTTTCCTGTATGTCAAAATATTGAGAGATTTAATGATCAGATACCTCCCCCTGCTACAGTCATACCAAACAGGTACTTTCAAGGTTTTCTTTTTCTTAGTTCATAGAGTTTAATATATTTTTGTTTGCTGTATCTCAAGACTATGAAATATTATTCATATTTTGAGCTGTTCAATGATAGATTTTATATGCAAAATATGATATGTCTTGACTTTTAAACTGGATGAAATCTTAAAATGAGTCACTGAGGAGGAAACTCAATCTCTCAGTCTACCTTCTTCTGCCTAGTATGTTATTTTAGATAGGATGTATATATACTCAATTATTACCCAAATTTTAAAGAAATCATTTTTTGGTCCTTAATAAAAACTTGAGTGAAGCTGGAAAATTGTTTTTTAATAGCCTCAGTGTTTACCATCATAAATCACTATACTTTGATAGTAATTAAATGGGTTGATTTATATTTCAGATTAAATGGATCTGGTGTATTAAGTGCTCAAAATGATTCTCCTTCTCATTCCCCATTATCATCGTGTACCAACTCGACTCAGAACAGTCCTTCCTCCTCTCCCTTGTCTCAAACTCCTGATATGATATCTGTTACTCAATTATTAAAATTATTAAAGATGGAAGAATACTCAGATCAACTAAGTAAATATACAGTTCAGGAAGTAAGTACTTTATGCTGCATTCGTTACCCTTCATCAGATTTGTAAATATACTCTTCCAAGAAGTCTATAGTAATTGCAGTACAATTATGCTACATTCGTTATTCTATCGAGGGTATTACCCTAGTACAATCTTTTAAGTCAATGTGTTTCCCATTTCTCTCTATCTGTGATGTAATTCAGATGTGAGCATAAAGCCAAGACATATCTTATATTTTGTGTTTGTTTCCTTTTCCTTATTTTTACCATATTTGGTAAACATCTTGAAACTGAGAACACAGAAAGTATGTGCTTTGTGCTTGATATTATGTTCAAATTGTTTTAGTTATGTTTCACGTAACACAACTCTTAATTCCACTATGTGTATTTTGTAGTTACGATCATTGATAGATGAAGATCTAGTCTTTAAAGATTTACCAAAACAAGCTCATATTAAACTTCGTAAAAAACTCAATGATTATTTGTAAGTATTAGTATCATGGACTAAATTTGAATTTATTTGGATGTAAGTACTTTTTAGGAAAAAAAGATGAAAATTAATAATGCTTAATTCTGCACTCATGAAGTCGTCATTTTACGTGTTCAAAAGATCTGTTATTTGATATTCTGTTCTTGGTTGACATGATAGATGTTGAAAAACATTTAAATCAGCATTTTAATCTGAAATCAAATTTTTATTTAACAGTAGAGAGAAACCAAACGGTATAATAGAACCTCATATCATGGTACCTAATGTCTCACCAATGGTACAGACTATTCCTTGGGCAACCTGTATACCACCACCAGGTTACTGTTACCCTACCAACCAGCCCTTACCATCAACACGGGACAGTTCACCCAGTAATTCTGAACCTTCTAGTCCACCAGCCAGTCCACATCTACCGTCATCTAATAATATCAAATCATCTAACAGTTCAGGGTCCGAAGGTCAGACTTGTTTTTGAATTGTATTTATTTTTTTCACAAGTTTGATTTGATGATAAATATGGTTTACAAATGGGCCTAGGGAAGATTTCACATTTTGGTGTCAGTTTCATATTTACTTCAAATATTCGCAATTATAAGTTAATACTTGTGATGAATTTCGATGATAAGATTTTTTTGTTAAACATACAGCAACCAGATGAATAAGAAAGTTTTGTGAGTTTTGAGTGTCAAGTCTCTTTAACCAATATGTTACTCAAGGATTTACTTATTTTACAGATAAAAACCAAAGAGATGAAAAAGAGAGCACCCCAACTGGAAGTTTACCTCGACCTGGAAAGGGTCACGGTGGTAAATTTATTCCCCAATATCGTGATATGTTACCTCCACCACCAGGCAGTTATCCTGATCCAAGTCTAGATCCTACAGTAATACAAAATGGCTTCCCTGACAACCCGCACCACATGACGTCTGCTATGCGACCAGACATGTTGAATAATATTCACGGACGGCCATTTCCTCATGGTAAACCACTTCAGTACCACCAACCTAAGCATGTATTTATGCATGACAAAGCTGGCTATCCATGTTTCATTCAACATCATACAGTACGTAACGAGTACTCCATACCCACATCCATGATGCCAGGTGAGAGCCAGAATCGACAGTATATGACCCAACCAGGAATATTAGGACAACCTCCTATCAGACCAGCCAATACCGCAACAATGACAAATGCTGTAGGTCCACATACATCTTTAACTCCGACACCACCAATGACTGTTAACACTGGTACAAAATCGCCAAATAACGTGCCTACAATAGTTAATAGTTCTTCCGAATCTAACTTACAAAATCCAGAACAGTCAAATTCACCCTCTCCATTACCAGTGAATAACACCCCTGCTGCAATACCAACAGTGCCTTGTACTTCGGGTGGACCCGTCATACATAATCATCAACCATGCAGCACTTGTGGTTCTAGACCACAACCTTTTCCATTTACTGCTGGATATTTTCCCACCTCCAATGGATTCATGCCAATTCCTTCCATGCCACACCCCTACCAACATATGCATCCCCACCTGCCCATATTGACGCCAGATATGTTAAACACCATGCCACCAACCATGATCCATAATTATCCTGTTCAGCAATTTTTGAATTATCCAAATTACATGTATAGCAGTGTCAATAATTCACAAACCAACAAAAAGACAAATTGCTATAATTGTGGTTCGAAACAGCATAATTCATCAGAGTGTAAAGAAGCTACTATGGAAAGTACTGCAGGTAGGTTGATTTTTCTTTGATATAGGCCTGGTATGAATTGATTTGTGTTCAAATCAGGAAATGGATCACACTCTAATTGCCTTATGCATTCTCAGAAGCATCATGACTTTCACATAGTCGTAAAAATACTTTGATGAAGAACAGTGATTGGTTAATATTAATCCAGTGATAATGTTGCCCAATCAGATTTGTAAATAGAGGAGTCGCAACTTTGTTTTGTAATTTTGATAAGATTTTCTGAGCCCAATGTAGAGCAGCAATATAAAACTCTGTTATTTTGCATTGAGTAACTTACTTAGCTTGGCTTATTACTTCTTTTGTTCAAACATCAAAATATAAAACCCTCATTTCCAAACCAAACTGTCCTTATGTTGGATATTTCTCAAAAACACATTTCTACAGCATAATTTAAAGAAAGAAATTTATTTCATTTTTTTTCAGGAAATTATCATTTGAATTACAAGAAATCAGATTCCGATTGACACCGATAATCCTGGGATATATCATATATATTCGTATCCTAGGAAACGCTACAATACCCAATTTTAAAATACATAGTCAAAAATATCAAATCAAAATACAGTCATATCAACTTACAAACCACACATTAAATTGGTGATTATCATGTATATATAACTATTATTATTATTATTATGTTCAGATATTTATAGGAGGTATTGAAATGTGATAGACAGTAACGTTAGCTAGTTCAAGTTGAGTGATTTGTACTTAAAACTCTACTTCACTCTATTGTTCTTAATCTCAAACATGAACACAAAATTTTAATGATTTTAACTGGATATGACAAAGAAGAGATATTTTTAAAATAATTTGAATTTCTAGCCTAAGTTTGAGTGGAAATGGTACAGAATTAAACAACTATGAGTTGGCGCTAGTTCAAATTTCCTTCCTTAGACATGTCATTTAATCATCCGTACATTATCTTGTATTCCCTGCTGTTATAAATGTATGGAGAAATATCAGATTGCTGTGTTTCGTGACAAGAATGTCAAGGAAATATGACGAGATATGAACTATTGAGTGACTGATCATGTGATCTCTTATAATGATGATATAATATGTATATAGGGCTATTTTTTTAATTGACAATTTATTTTTTAAGTTATGCTGATGACAATCTGTATCATGTATAAAGAATGACTTGTTATTATTTTTGTATGCAGCAATAGAGCTTTACATCTCAAATTTATACTTGCCTTTAAAGGAATACATCCATGTAATTTTCCAAATGTATCTTGCTTATTGACACATTGTAGTAACCAATGATATGTGCCATATTTACACAAATTTTTCAAAAAATCTATGTAATAAACTTGTAGTAGCGAAATATATATAAAATTAATGACAGTCAGCATTATAAAATTGTTTGATTAAAGAATTCAAGTTAACACAGTTGCACTCTTTGCACTCTCATGTAATAGATATAATTCCAAATTTGTATTGACTCACACAGACTGAGGTTGGTTAAGATTCCTTAATATGATGTCAATCTATTTGGTTTCGTGCATTATCCCTCATGCGCCCAGTATGTAATCAATGGATGTGGCTCATGATGAGATCACTTTATAAACTGTCCCTTATAGATGAGACAACAGATAAATTTGTTTCAATGCATGTATGTATTCCTTCAATTATAAAGCTGGCAAGACTAGTGGATGTTGCTCAGCATTTTTGTGATAATGTTTGTATATTTTGTTAATATCCCAAGGCCAAATAGTAAGTGAAGTGCTGTATTTATAATGTTTATAATGAACCGAGGGAATGTGGATTATATATGATGAAAGTAAACAAGGCAGAGATAAGCCTTGTCATTGACAATTAACTGTGCTATAAATTTACTTAATATGTACTGAAGAGGTCTTAGAATTGACCAGTGGAAACTGTGCTATAGACTTTACTTGCATCTGAATGTCTTCAAGAAAGATTTGTTTACAAGGTAACTTATAGATACTGTGTTTTAAGGGATATTAAGAAAAATAGTGTCATATCCTCAGTCTATAAAGAATGCATTTACAAGTGTTTTCACAATTGTTTGATATTGTCTTTAATTGTCATCATATTCATTCCTTCATTTTCACAAGAGCCGTAATCTTGCTGATAAACTACTTCGAGCTTACATTATTTTAACTAGCAATGAATTTGGTCCTTGACATAAAAGTAAAATGAAATGTTATTCAGATCCTAGTTAAACGAGACCTTTTAGCTGGCATGTCGATCATATCTGGCAAATACAGTAAAATCAACAACCCTGGTTATTCTATGTTTAACAATGTTTACAAAGCCTTTCAGGTTGTTTTCCAACTTTCATCTATTGACTTTATGAATCGAGATGTCACTAGAATAGAAACAGCTTTCATTTCATTGTTTATGGGAATGAATAACAAATTGGTATTATTAAAGAAAAGTTCACTGTGTAAGAGGAAAACCCTGTTGAGAGGCTGTAAACAAGTCTAAAATGTTAGTAATACTCTCTTCATTTTAATCCTTTAGTGACATTTAGGGGTAGAGATCACATTAAATAACGGAACACAATTTTATGGTATACTACTCTTTAGTCACTTAATTTTGCATTGCCTTAGAATTTGAAAATTAAAACAATAGGGCATTAACTTTATAACTTGAAATCCGAAATAAAAGAACCCTGATTGGTTGATGTAGTGGTAATATTAACCAATCATGACTCCTAGATAAGATAGTTCAGGATAATATAAGTCAATTTGACCTCGGCCTGCGCATTTAGGATTGAGTTGTATTCAAATTTCATTTTAACACAATGGTAAGTGTATGACAACTATGTTTGATATTCTATGATCTAGTGTATCTGTATATGAGGTTGTTAATTTATACTGTATATTATTACCAGTGTGATGTATTTATATGTAATAATGATGTGATATTAGCAACTTGTTAGGTCACAAATTGTCATAATTGGGCATAAAAAATGATCACTGAATTGCATTTCAGAATTTTGAACATAATTTAACAAATGTCAGTTACTGTCATGTGATTGAAATGAAATCAAGCTAGGTTTAGCTGTGTATTACTTGATTTCCTGAAAATCTCCAGGATTCAATATACATGTATTTGAAAATGGCATTGTTTTGATCTTTTTTATTCTAAATTTATAAAGAAATAAGCTTTTTATAAGAAATTAAAGAAGTAGGTAGTAGTAGTCGTTTTGATTTGTGCAGGTGTTTTGATACAGGGTTTATAGATGGAAAAGCTAGAAAACCCATGTTTCATTGAAATTAAGATACCAGTATTCTTCATTGCATTTTTGTATTCTAAAACGTTTTTGAGAAGTACAGATATAAGCTATCTTATAATTAAATAAAAGCATTAGGTAGTAGTCTTCTTGATTAATAAAGGGGAACTGGTCTTGAGATATAAGTTAAAATCTAGATTAAACTCATTAACAGTTCTTAAATAGAGAAGAGAAACCATTATCTGTATGCTATTTCTGAATTGATATACTTTGTAATTTTTTGTTTATTTTTTATGCCTGTGTTCTATTGCTCTTGTCCAATGTTATTTTTGTTACCAAATTCCTTTTAAAACATATTAATTTTCATGTATTTTAATTATGCAAATAATTGTTGAATTTGAAATTTGTTTGTACATTTTCATATGTTTTCATCTTTTTTAACTTAATATGCCCCCACCCTCTTTTTATGCTTATGATTCATACCAAAATCAAATCATAAAATGATGTTTGATCCACTTAAATCATTCACAGACAGAGTCAGAGTATTAGTTATTTTTGTGGAATAATAACTCATTTTAACACTTTCATAATGGAATGCATTGAAATTTGTTGGCATGTTTGATATTCCAATGATACCAAAAATAAAATGTCCAGTTTAAAGTCAACAAAATATTTTTATGTGCTGGAGAATTCTAATTGGCAAAAACAAACTGCTTTGAATGATTCATTCATATGACAACATGTAGAATTTTGAGAATTTGAAATTTCCTAAATATTTTTGTTCAGAGATTGATAAAAATTGAATTATAATTAGAGGGAATTTTATGAAGTTGAAATACTAGTCAAAGAAGAACCATTTAAATATTTTGTTGCCTTCAGCCTGGTCATACTGTATAAATTAAATTATTATAATGGAGAAAATCAGTGTATTTATGAAATTCATTTTGTGTTTTTGTGAAGAAAATCTGTTATATTTCTATTTGATAATAACTATGTACATGAATTGTATTTTATGTATTAAACAACCTGTTATATAATGGGAGCCCGAAAAAGCAAAAAAATAATAAAAAGATTTTAAAATTGAATGTTGACTCTTTCTGTGTGAAGTGGGATGTAACTATTTTTACTAAGTCCCAAAAGTATCAATTAATTTCTATAGGTTATTACCAGTTGTGTATGGTTGCGAATAAAGACAGTAGTTTGAGTAATCATGAGTTCTGAATTCAACTCAGTTGAAAGAGAGTTACGTTCCAAATTTTTTTTTTCACTCACATACATACATATACGTGCACATACATATTATATTTACAGTTCTTGCATTATTTGGTAGGCATTTGCAATAATAATTTCGAAATTTTTGACAGCTATTTTAATTCTCTAACTGGTGGTTGCTAAGGTCACTTAAAAAATTTCAAAATGTACTTTTTTGCCCCAAAATATGTGTCATAAGCTACAAGTACTCTCTTCAAATGCCGAGTTGACATACCAAGAAGCATAGTGATATGAGCTGTAACAGCTCAGTTTCATAGGTGCAATCTTTGCTGCCAATTATTATCAAGTTTTAATTAATTAGTCTTTGGACTTCAACAGCTGTTAAGCTGTTAAGTCCAGTGATGTCTAGTGCAGATTCATCAGCTTCATGGGGTGTAATAAAATATACCAAATCAACATTAGCTAAGTGGACTCTAACAGGTAGGCCAAGTTGACAAACTATGCCCCATGGTGGTATCAAGTTTTTCAGAGGAATGAGCACATTGCTTTGCAACATTATGGATCTTGAATTCAATATGGGTTTTGGAGATGGACTTTGATTCACAAGCTTCAAGTTGAAGAAGGACATTCTTAAGGGAAAAGAAAGTAAACAAATTTTTCATAACAAATTTAATAACAAAAGGTTACTATAAACCAGTATCATTCAAAATGGCTATTTGCCACAAACATTCAAATTAAACACATTCAGAAATAGAAATATAGATAATAGAAAAAAATATTCTTTCAAAAATGGAAATTGATGGCTTTACACATGACTTTTTTTTTTATATCATTTAATGTCTTCAAATTAAATGTAAGATTACGAAAATAGTTTTCATTTTTTTTGCACTTTACTAGTAATTAAATCTTCCTCAAGTGAAAACATTTTATTAAATACAAAATAGATCTTATTAAAGAGACAGTCCTGTATAGATATCTGCCTTAAAAACTTAACAGAATCCAGTTTAGTTCTGTAAAGTTTATCCAAAGAAGGTTTCAAAAGCATCACAAGAACTAGTATCTAAATTTGTAGTTCTCTCAGCAATAAAATTGTAGAGTAAAATAACTTAAAAGAAAGTTGATTTTTTACAAACAGTAAGATCATAATATCTTTATAATATTCTATTCATTTTACAGTAGACAAAGATTTTGAGACAAATTAAAGAAAAAATTGAAGAAAAGGAAATTCAATTAAATTCTTATGACAGCACTAATTATGGATTTCAATTTGAAAAAAAAAAGGAACAAATTAGAAAGAAGCACTGAGTATGAAGCACACAATAAAAGAAAAATTAGATCAATCAATTTTAACTACATACAATAACATCAATCTTAAGCTTTTATAATGTAAAATAAATTAAAATGTGTCAAATATACCTTTGAAAAAATCCCATGAAACTATTATTCATTACAAAATACTTTTAAAGAGGCTAATCCATGAAAATACAAGTCATCAATATTTTCTTAAATTCAAATTATAGTGAAATATCCTTATTTTGAGCTGATTTAAATTAAGATTTGCTCAAAACCATGAAACATTTTGGGGCAGAAGCCTAAGAAAACAAAGATGGATGCTTAATTAAATCTGTTTGGTTTAAATGGTGACTTAAATGTTTTAACATGATCATAGTTCCTACAAACTTGATAAGACAATTCTCCAAGGATATTATGACAATGTTGACATAAATTGGCACACTCATGTCATCATTCATCAAATGCAAATCTCAGACACAAAAATAGACATCATTTAGAAAAAGTTTAGTTGAATAATAAATCTCAAACACACCAGTATCACTCAACTTCAATATAACAAAATAATATACAGGTTTAATATGTGCGTACTTAGTAAGTTTGACAACCAACCATTGAATAAAGGTTTCTTTACACTGTAAGGTATAATAAAATATAGCCAGAGAAATAAACCTAGATATACAAACATTAGTTTATTATTAAAATCAGTGCAAATTAATAGAGATCACTGACCACAAACCTTTTTGTCAGAAACATATTACAATATTCATAAATCATAGTAGCAATAAATGTGTATTTCACGCTCTTAAGAGTCAATAGAACCCGAAAAGTTAAACTTAATAGGTGTTTCCATTAACATCTTACACTAGGGTGTAGAACACAGGAGACTATATAGTCAGGTGACCATCATATACTGGGAGTCAACGATTTACTACTGTCAGTATATAGAAATAAAGCATCTTAGAACCAGGAGTTATTATTCAGTATGTGTTGACCTTCTTACTAGAGTCAGGATATAGAAATAATGTGTTAACTTTAACAAATGTGGACTGTTATATGAGCTAACTATTGTCTGTTACAGTCTTCTCATACTTGTGGCTTTGGCATTAAAGGTATAATATTACAGGCCATTTTCAGTAGTATTTTATCTAAATATCTGCCAAAAAGTTAGGAGTATCCTTAAATTGGTTGTTTTCGTCAACCAAAAAGTATAACAGATAAATTAAGACACATGTTGGGTATGATCAAGGTACAATATGATTACCTAGTTATCTTTATACAAATTTTAAATTTGAATTTATCCAAAGGCTATCTTTTTATTTTCTGCTGAGCTTGGCGTAACAGTTCATCAAAATCTGAGACTGGTGCTTTTGGCTTTACTATTGGTTGAAACATGTCTTCTTCATCATTATTACCATCTGTAAATATATATTAATATTCAAATATTTATGAAGAGATCATTAAGCACTCTGCAGCATATATAATTGTTTTGTGCTATTCAAATCACTATTTAGATACCTTTCTATCTCATTTGAATGACTGACATAAGAAAATTAGTTAAAATCTATCTGGATAGCAATAAGGTATTGAAATGAAATTGAGTTTTACACCCTACTTTTATGGATTAGGCTAATCAAGACAAGAAATACCCTGTAGTGTGAAATAAATGAAATTTTTCCAGCACTATACAGCAACCCACTTCTTGTCCATTTCCAAATATCCTAAACTTCAGATAGGAATAAGTAAGATTCTTACCAAGATCAGCATATTCTGTATCACAAAATTGTCTTCTGCCACCAAAACATAAATCAAACTTCATTTCACCAGGCACAGCATTTCCCTCTGTAATAATAACCCAATTCTTATGATAATTACAGGTAATTTATCAAATGTCACATATCAGAAATAGTATATCCATATATCTTGTTAACGTCTCAATACAGGTAAATACTATGTAGTTTTTGTAATTTTAACTGTAGAGTCATCTAATACCATAATTTTGTCAGTATCTATGACGAACAGATGCTCAGTTTTAGTTGTTAGTCCCTCTTATCAATATTTTTCCCATTGATATTTCCTGAATCAAACTGTATCACTGACAAGAGGAAACAATACTCGCAACGAACTAAAAAATAAGGAGACTAAATAGCAAATGAGCATCCAATCCATTATGAATTTCTTGAATTCAATTGAGGCCATATTCTTGGACGTGACAAGAACTGTTTGACTTACTTTCAATAGCAGCAAAGGCGTCACAAGTATAAGCAAATGTAACAAAACCATAATTATCCCTACAAAAATATACCATAAATAAAATAGAAATTATCAAGTATTCTCTAGTCTAAAACCACTATAGACTGCATGTCCTGACAAAATCTCATCTACAACTGTTTTGGATATAATAACAATAATCAGTCCTTTATAAGATAATCAGACGAAGTATGTGTAAGCTTCAGTTAGCTTTTGAGTGCTTTAACTTTAACAATATTGAAGTATCAATAGATTCCTGCTACAAAAAACTTAGGCTTACCCATATTCTCTAAAGTGTGTACTAACATTGGTAATTTCACCAAACCTATCAAATCTCTTGCGTAGATCACTTTTAGTAAAATCAGTTGGTATTCTTCCTACATATACTATTCTTCTCTCTTTCTGTAATGTTAATGGTTTAGATGAAATAGAAGTCAATGCCATAGAAGTAGATTTCCTAGTATTTCAAATTGAAAGTATGATGCAACACTAAGCAAGGAAACCTATGTTAGTAGGAAAGTTGGGGTGAAATGGTTTTTTAAGACAGTGCTAATATGCAAAGAATATTTTCACTGTTGACAGAATATTGCAAGGGAGATAACTACTCCTAGACGTTGGAGAATTGGAAAGGTTTTCTGATTGAATGGAATATTATTCTCTCATGAGATCACAAGTCTGCTTAACTAAAAACTTACAATTTGTCTTTGTTTCTCCTCTTCTTTAAATTTCTTTTTTTCAGCTCTTCTCCTTTCAAGACTTCTGCTTCTTGATGGAGATCTTGAATAAGATCTGAAAAAAAGAACAAGTCAGAGTCAGACAAAATTTCATGTTTGTGGGTTTTGAGACTTAGTTTAATATTTAATAAATTGGAATATAGAAAATTTTGGCTGTACATGGCACTTTACAGATTTAAATTCTGATGTTCAATTGTAGAGGAACTGGGTGCATGATTTTACTATAAATTTTTTAAAATAGATGAGAAATCTATTCATTCTATATACCCAATACATTGTATCTATAGATACTCTAGAACATAAAATAAGAAGACAGAGGATAAGAGTAAACCATTGTGCATGTCAAAGTTGTTTATCAAGTCACTACCAAAACATGTCCATGTATTTGTCTCAATTTTTTTATTTTGAACCACGAGATGTACTTGGCAAGTAGCCACTAGCATACTAAATTTCACTTACCTTCTACTACGATGTCTAGACCTCCGTCTAGAGCGGGATCTATAAGATGGTCTACTTCTTGATATTGACGTTGACCTTTGTCTAGATCTGTATCGTCTAGGTACGGTACGTTTAGATCTCTTTCTATCTCCAGAATAAGATCTAGAACGTGAACGAGATCTGTTGTGAGAATAGGAACTTGAGTGACTGGAACTAGATCTGGACCTGAAGAGAAGAAGTTTTCTATTTAATATATTCTGTCAGCAGTGGTCCCCCTTGACACAAATGTAACAGAAACTGACAGATAGAATCCAATGTCAATGGGATATGGACTTTCTCTAAACTATTTTCATGAAACGTTTTGTTTAGACGAGATTTAAATTTTACAACAAAGCGATTTGTTGCAAAAATGAAGACACTTTGAAATTTTTTCTAACTGCATGCATAACAGCAGCATGTTTGTTCTGAAATGGTATGAGCCATTATGTTCAAAGGCAAATTTTGTTTTTTATTTCAAACTGTAGCTCACAGAGGCTTAATTTATTGCCCTATCCAAACTATAACATCTCAGACCAAACCTACATACAAAAGAGTACAGGAATTTTAAATTACCTTGATCTACTGGAGGATAACGATGTTGAAGAGTAGGAATTCCTCCTTTTTATTCTTTCTGATCTTTTAAATCTATCATAGGAACGTCCTCTTGATGATCTAGAACAGGAACTACAAGAACTACCACAAGAGGATGAGGATGAGGAAGAACTAAGTGATCTGGACGTTCTACGAGAGGGCCTTCCATTATTGTCAATTTCCTCCACTGGTTCGATTTTTATTTCAATCTCATTTTCCTCCTGTCCGTCATATTTTGTACTGTTCGTAAAACAACTATAATAATCTGGTAATTTACTGTACATACTGTCAGAGTCTCGTGTTGGAGATCGATCACGGGTAATATAATCTGCTACACTAATGCCACCTGTATTCACTTCACGTTTCGGGGGTTTCTGAGGTAGCGACAAAGTTGTAAAATAGGCAGGGATTTTATCATAATATTTACTTTCATCAGAAATAATAGGTTCTTCATGTTTACGATAACTTCGTTTCGATTTTAAATTTCTAGGACAAGGGAAGAAGACTGATTCTTTAGGTGGCGCCAGGCTGTCAATATCCAAAATTTCTCCCTCCTCAACGCCACTATCACGACTTCCCAGGCTGGTACTCATTTCTTCAGAGCTAGTTGATACTTCACCCACCGATTTATTCAAGTCAGTTTCAATTAAATTCAAATTATCTGTCTTTCTAGATTTAGACGACAAAGTTTCAGTGATGTTATTTTGTGTTTTAGTTGAATTTGTAATTTCTTTGGCAGAGGTTTCAAAAATTTTGACAGGGGTAACTGGACTAGAAACAGTAGGTTGTTTTATGTTTTTAGGAGTTATTGGTTTATCATTACTAGAACTATAACAATAGTCATGATCTGATTGGATGTCCTGAATATTTGTTTCACTCTGAGAGTCAACTTCCTCACAGGTTCTTATCATCTTTATCAACACCCTTCTTTTTTAGTAATCGTTGGATTTTACTTGAACCATCACTTAGAACTTTGTCTTTTCTGGTTGTAGGTGTACCTATTGGTAACATTATGGCAGTTCTCTTATTAGTGTTTTTTGATCGAATCTTGTCCAAGACTTCAGTAGTTATAACAGGAGATGAGGTACCTGGAAAATAAAATAGAAAAAATTGATGATTCTAGCAATATGTAGTGCGTACTTGCATGCAACGCTACCATATACAAGTCCTGTGTCTAAAGGAGATGCTAGGAACTAATTTATAGATACTGTAAAATGGATATAGTCATCCATAAATTTGTTTTACTGACTGAAAGAGCCCAAATTTCAGCTATCCTTTAAGGCTAATCATTATCAAAATCAATGCTAATAGTAAATAAATAAGTAGGCCTATGTAGATGACAATTTCCCCTCAGAACAAGCTTGTTATATTATATAGCTTGCTCAATCTACTTGATTTCCGCTGTCTTCACTTACCATACACAATAACAAAATACTATGTACTATTTATCAATAGTGAACATGCATCTTTGAACAAACATTAAAGCCTTAGAGTATGTACATCCATGTCTATCAATTTAAATAGTAATTTAACTTCAATACAAACTATGTACTCAAGGAGGAGTAAAGTGTATTTGTTTATTGATAATAAGTAATCTTCATATAATGCTATCATGTATGACAATGTGACAAATGATACAGGTCGACAAGTACAGTTCAAATGAAAAAAAATAAAAAGCAATAAATAAAATGCAATTTTCCAAAAATAAAAGCTACATTGATGAAATGAATTAATAGACGCCAATACCAGATGACCCTACCACTAATTGTTATATAACGGGTTTGAAATCTCACTGATGACTGATAATTTCAGTTTTATTAACCAGGTTGACTGATTGATGTATTTGTTCTTCAAGGTTTAGATATAAATAGCCAGTCAGTCCTGGTTGATGGCAATTCCAAGATATCTAAAAATATTAGGGGCTTAACTTTTTTCAAAACCCTGTGCAATAATAGTACAATTACAATCTTATTTTATCATGTTATAAACCATAGAAACAGATATAAATATGGTAAAATAGTATAGAATATTTAATACTTTGCAGAACTATATTGTTAAGAATATTTTAAGACATTTTTTTGACTCACCTGAGTTATTTTGTATACTATCAAGATCATAATTATACTCTTTCATATCTAGATCAATTCTGAAATAATAAAATATAGGTCCTTGTTATAATGTACTAAATGGTGTTAATATAATATAGTATTTAATTGTGCATGACATCTGATATTGCCATACATAAGATAGTCTAACTCACCAGTCCATTAATTAGATAATGACATTAGATAGAAACAGTTGATGAAATTTTACAAAAAAAAAAAAGTAGGTCATTGCCTGAGTTAATAGAGTTATTTTAAATGTAGGTCAGGGCTATTAATTTATAGGCTTTGATCAGGTCAGGTCAAAGAACAAGATAACTTTTGGTTGTACTTGATGTACTGAACTAATCATTATTGGCTATATGTACTCTGTAAAGGGATGCCTAGTCAACCACATTCCATAAAGTGGCAAGTTTTATGGAAGAGCAAGCATGCCCTACCTCAATAGCAACACCATACACAATACACAAGGTATTACAAATTTTGTCATATACCTTGATAAATAGCCACTGTTCTTGTATCATGGACTGCAGCAATTTGATTGGATCGTATGTGAAAACAGCTAATCGGAGCCCTTGACAGAAAGACTGCAAACATAGGTTATTATTTACATGCTCTGATTGGCTGTATTCACTTGCGTACAATCCAATCAAATCAATTCATTTCAAAACTTCTATGTTACAAGAACTTAGAGAAGTGGCTATTGTTGTCAAGAACAAACCTTGATAATTGTGAAGATGTAGAAATGAAATGAATGGAGTTTTATGTCCTACTTTTCTGCATCATGTGGGCTAATGAAGACAGCTTGTAGATGTGAAACCTGTCACAGTTGTTGATTTAGTGAGTTAAGATAATAATCACTTCAACTGGTTCGAAAATTTTTTTCAAAAAGTAAGTAAATTTGACATCAGATTTTCATTCTGAGAATTATTTAGCACTGGGTCTAGATATCTGAAGTTACCAAGTGATGCAATTGAAATAACAATAATTGCTATTACCTTTGGGGATATCACACAAGACCATACAATAGCAAGAAGAGCTATGTGGTGTATGTACTATTGCTACTTCAATAAGATACTTTTCAAACAATGAACAATATAGGAAGAAATATTTCTTCTACTTTATACTGATGGAAATTCCCCAAGTGTAAGTTAATTTCCTTTACTGTCAACAGTTATCAGTGGTTAGATAAGAGGAGAGGAAACTTTAATCTAGTGTATATGGTAAACATCTAGCTGACATAATATAAATTAATATCTACAAGGTCACTGTAATACATAGTTGAATATAGTACCAATAGTTGAATTTAGTTATTTAGAGATAAAATAAGTCTCTCCCATAATAAATTCATTTTTCTGTCTCTAAACCTAAGTCTTGCTATTCGAACTATTGGGCTGCTTAACATGGCAGTAAGTGTGTCAACTTGGGAGACATTGGAAAAAAACTGAAAATGAGTTTTATATCCTACTTTTCAGCACCTGCATGAGCCAATAAAAAATCAAATACAGGATAGAACAGGCTATCCGGTCAACACTACTAG